GCACCAAAGGAACGTGGAGACGATAAACCAAAAAGATAAATTATATAAATGTACATGTATACTATATTTATTAATATGTATTTAAATAATATTTAGGCAATTAAAATAACAGTATAGGAGTGGTTCTTTCTAAGTTGAGAAACTTTTGTAAATTCAACTTAAAATGATTTGGTTTTGTTAGAAGGAAACACTTGTTTTTCGAAGATTTTTGATTTGCTGTCTGTACGTGCACAGAAAACAGGATTCAAAGAACAAATAAAAAATTAGTGTGTTTTAATACTAAGCACCATGTCATTTGCTCATATTATTTACAAATAAGACATGGTCTTTATGTGCTCAAACTTCATTATCCCTAAACGACATGGTCGTTTTTCCGAACTTCAAATTGTCCAATTATTTATTATTGTCTAATTTATTATTTGTTGTTATCTTATTCAGTGCTTAACGTAACAGAAAATTTTAAGTTTTTTTGAATATTTAAAAAAGTGTCCCACTTTAGAGAGAATTACACATACACATATGTAATAAAAGAAAGAATATATAAAGCAAAAATAGCAACTGTAGATAGGGAGACAAATGTATGCAATTAAGAACAATGAGAACAACAAAAAATTAGCCATTGTGCTAATGGTTTTAAGAAACAACGCAAAATGTCCCACACCACAATCAAAAAACACTATGCGATTATATTGTTTTATTTAGTCGCATACATGTATGTACATATATACTTTTGAACCACATAGTTTTCTTACCAGTTGATTAATAATAGACCTTAGTTTTACGAATTCTTGTAAGAAGCTCCGTTAATTAAGACATAAAACACTCGTGGAAATTTCTCTCGAGCTGGTCTTTGACCAAGTAAACGAATATTTCGAGACGGACCAGAAACGCAGAGTTATGAGCTGCGGAACAAGGACAACGAATTTTGTTCAATTTATGACCAGAAAACTTTATTTTTCAAAAAAGTGCAAGCATATGTGTATATTTTTATTAAATTCAACTAAATTTACAGTCAATTATTTAACGACACCACACAAAAAACGTCCTAGTTATTCCGATGATTCGAATTAACAGTGAAGTGCAAAGAAAATGATCATGGCGGCAATTAACTGTGTCAATTTTCTATTGTAAATAACATACAGATAATATATATTAATTATTTTATGGAACGCATATTAAATACCTAAAGTCAATTTCATAACCACACCTTACCTCTTTCCAGTTTTTTATGAAATTTCGGGGTAATCGTTGGAAAAAATATTTGTTAAAAGGTTTCAATATTTTTTCTTTGCTAATTTCAACAAAAAAATCTCCATAACCGAACTGAATGTTGGTTAAGATTACAATAATCCTACATTAAATTACTTATTCATTGTTCTGTCAATACATAATCCTAGAAGGAAACATCAGAGAAGGCTATGCAAGATTGTTAATTCAAAAATGTAACATTGTTAAGTGTTCAAAGCGGGTAACAATACTATTCAAAATCACAACAAGAGTACGCTTTAATTCTGTGTTATTTGTCTCTGATTAGGCAACTGAAGGCACACGTAATATATCGATAGCCGATTGGCCATCTTAGCTTCTAAATTAGATCACAGTCCAGCAGATTTTCTTCAATTGCGCAAATGGCATAGTGACATTGAAGCTGGTGGTCAATTGAGAAACAGAATCAGACGTTAGCTAAGAGCAATGTCTAAGACAGTATATACCCAAACATACACACATATAGCATAAACATACTTACGTAGTGAGCACTGCTGTATGGACGCTCTCTAATCATAGTCAAATACTTACGTACATATTTATACAGAGTGAACCTACATATATATACAATAAAGATTCAAGCTTAAATATTTTGGAACAGACGAAAGTAAGACCAAGCTACTGACTTCTATAATTTATGTAAACCAACTTCCAGAAACAAATCAATAGCAAACAAAGCATGAAGAGCTGAGTTTAATATATAAATACCTCCCCTCGCCTTTTAAGGTCCGTTGTGGTTTCATATTTTTAAATATATATCGTTCATTCTATGAATAAAAAATCAAGCAATCCACCTCTAGCATTCCGAACAAAAATGCGATCTCGTGAACTAAATTAGTTAAAAATTGGACACATACACCCTGTGCTTGCAACATTTCCCAAAAATATCCAATAAACCAATAGAGAACCAGATATATTTCATAAAATGGATTATAAAAATCATATGCATATATATATGACAGTGCAGTAGTACTTGGCAGATATTTTTAATTTTAATCAACTGGGTTTTGAAGTCATATTACTGATCATTTGTTAAACTAAATCGTATAAATTAAATCAAATTAGTATTTATTTATTTAAAAATACGACAATAAACTGTCACAGGAAATAATTTCTCTAACAATAATTTATAATATAAAATATATATCAAAACGGATCTTTTAAGGGGGTGGATCATTGAACAAATACATACAAACAAACATATATGAAAAGCAACGTTACACAATAAATCGTATGAACAATCGCCTGTCGAAAACACCCACTTACCAATACACATACATTACTTCTTGTATTATTTATCACCACAAGTGGGTTGCTCTTCTTGGCACAACACAAGTACAAGGTTCTTCCCTAGTCTTCAAAATAGTCGATCCAGAAAGTTTTTAGAACATACCACAGCAGGGTATGTAATACTCTCAGTTAAATCAGTAACTAAGCAGCACTCCATTATGATACTATACATACATACAATATAAAGAAAACTAGTTAAAAAATGTTATGTGTTTTATAATTAACAATTATAATTAGAATTTTCGTTTAAATTATCGAATAAAGTCTAACCGCTAGTACGTCGTTGCGATTCGATTAAAATTATTTTAAATTAAATCCAATATACATGTTTCGTGTTACTTTTAACTGTATCTAACGCAAAATTGCACCTATAAGAGAAATATTAATAAATATTCCAGCTGCTTTATTTGTTGATGAGGATCCAGACTACCTAAGAACTAGGAGCAGAGGTAGACAAAAAAAAAAGAGGTACTTCAATAAAACTTTCCCTTAACAACATATACAATGTACAATAATTGTTACTTATACTTACATACTTAAATCTAAAACATGCTATACCAAAAAATACAATAAATGTTTACGTCTGACATTTGTGTTAATTAGTCGTAATTGTTTGCAAATACTATATTGAATCCTACCAAATTTAATTCTGAAGTGTGTTTAAAAATTAACTTCGGGGCGACAACTTATACTTATTGGTGAGATTGAAAATAATAACACGAAAAACTAATGCTAATATACAAACCTGTTGTTGTTATGTTTAGTCTAATAATGAATTCTGGAAATAAAATGCATAAATAGAGACAAAACAAATTTCTGTCCTGTTATTCCATCTCAACAACACATTATATACTGTCTTTTGTTTCATGATAGAAGGAAAAAACTGAAAACTAACGTGTTTAAGGAGTGACGCCATAGCTGTAAATATAATTACTCATACGCACTGTTGCTAATTTTACTATCCTAGGTGGCGCAGATTTACTTTTATTTCGCGTGACCCTTTTTAATAAGTTCTGTAGGTCATATTCAGATAGAATTTTAATAAAATCGATTTTTTAGTGTACATTTATTTAAGATTAAAACCATTTCATATCATTCAGGTGAATATTTGATATTTTAAAAGGGATGCTTGAAAGTACAAGACAAACAATACTTGAAAACGACTAGCCGATTAGTCTCAAATCTTAGCTTCTTAACTATTTTTTTAAGTAATTAAAATAACATTTTTCTCACTGGTAAATAAATTTTACCGAAATTTTGTTTAAAAATCAATATTTTTAAACCGCAATTTTTTTTTGATTAACTACCAGACTTAACATTACTTCAACGAAATCTGTTTGGTTTTTAATTTCGGAGGATCCAGATCTCAGGTACATATGTGGTCACAACGTCTTTTTTGAGCTCCCGGAGATCAGTTGTACCACCTTTTCAAATAAATATTTTTCCCAATACTAAGTCTAATATGGTATTTGAAAACAAATTTTTATATCAATAAATTTAAAAGTTTTCTCAACAACACTTTTTGCTAGATTTTGTGACGTATGAGTAAAATTTACTGAACCTAAGAAGCCATTGTAGAACACTCAAAAATAACAAAAAATATTTTTTTTGTGTAAACCATTAAAATATTTTGTAAGCTAAGATAAAAGTGACGGTATAAGAGCTACACTCACAACTAATTCACCCAAATTTAAATTTATTCGTAAATTGTGTGTATTTTTTAGTCAGTACTCCGGATAAGTCACTTCCAGCTAAAATTATAATACCCTTTACATGGTTACATAAAGCGTGTTTTGACCATCCGATAATTTCATAACTAGATTCCCTTGTAAGCAAGTGTTATTTTATTTTTTGTTTTTTTTTGACACAATTTTACAGACGTGTTGATAATGGAAAAGTTTACAGACTTAGATGAATTAAACGTTAAATTAAAATTTCATAGTTAACATAACCTAATCCACCGATTTTTTAGTTCCAAATTACACTGTGTTACAAGAGTGGACTTTTATTTTCTTACACTTATAAATATATCTTTTTATAAACTTTGAACAAAAGTTTGATGAAATCAATAAAAAGAAGAATGTCGTGTCATACAATACGAATATAATTTGAAGAATTGTAAAATTGCATGCTTCTAAAAAATATATATAATTTTGCTTTTGTACTTTAATATTATTGACTCAATATTATATTTAATTTAAAAATCGATGGTAACCACCAATTAGGCGTTTTCTGTCCAAGGCATGCTAAAATATTTTATTATTTTAAAAGCTTTAAACAACTATTATGTATATATATATCAGGTGACAATAGCCACCTGGGTCGATAATGTTTGCTTCTTCGGCCTTAAAAAAAAAAGAGCGTTCAAAACTAATTTACAATTTCAAATTCTCTGATGACAGTGAGCTTTGTTCTCGATTGTGATAAAATCATGTAAACATTTTATTTAATATTTTTTCGGCCACCAATTTCCAAATTCACTTTTACCTCAGATTCAAGCAGCCGCAACAAATAGTATTCGACGCAAGCGATCGACCAACACAGAGGGTATTGCTTCAGTCTGTACTCGGAATCTCGGCTGCCTTACCACCTGGCAAGCCCAGCTGTTAAATGCCGCGCACGCACTAAAGCTCTCTCCCACGCTCTCCGCTCTCCGCTCTCGCCCTTTTCCAGCCGTCCATTCGAACTAACCGTTACGCATACACATGCGCCGCGCGTGGAGAGAGGGGAAAGCTCTCTGGAGCTCCAACCGGTGTCGGGGGCTCCCGCTCATTCGTGTTTTCACTGCCAAAGTGGTAGCAACGACGGAGAGTGAAAGTTGTCTGGAAGTCGGCTGGAATACACAGTATACGGACACGGTGTGTGTGTGTGTGCTGCTACCTGTTCTTTTGCTTGCTGTTTGCGCGTTCCCTCCGATAAGACTCGCATAGATTCGTCAATACTTATCATAATCGCAGACGAATTATATAACCTTCGGTACTGTTGAATACATAATAGCGGAGGCACGTCTATCGACTACCGACCACCGACCACCGACACCATGGTTTAAAATCCTACCCATGTACATACTTAATCACGGGCGTTTTCGTATACATAGTGTGTTTTCTTATGCCTACATATATGCGCAAAGTAGCATTTGTCGGGAGAAACTTGTTTACCAGCGATAACGCGTCGCAGTTGTTAGGTCACCAGCATCGGGGCTGATAAGAACCGCTTTTAGAGCGAGCGAGCCCGGAAAATATGTGCCCTCCGAAACTGCAGACCTCCGACCTTCTCCGACCTTTAGTGGCCATTTGAGCTCCATTCTGATAAGATTCTTTGCAGGCAAATCAGTTGCGGCCTGACCATGAGCCCCCTTCCCCGAGTCAACATCGACCAGCCCAAATATGACCAGGAATCGTATGTGGGCAGGGCCAAGCACTTCTTCCTGCTGACCAATCCACTGAATGTGCTGGCCTCCGCCGCAAAACTGGAGGAGGCCCGCCAGATCGTGCTGAAGTACCGGGCCGGTAAGGATGACCCCACTGACCCGCTCACCAAACTGCCCGATCTAACAATAAAAAAAAACATCCTTTCCAGGCAAGGATGTGCCCGAGTGCAAGACCATCGACGATGTGTGGCGAGCCAAGTACCTGTACGATTCGGCGTTCCATCCGGAGACGGGCGAGAAACAGATTGTGATCGGGCGCATGGCGGCACAGATGCCCATGAACATGCTCATCACCGGAGGCGAGTACGAGTACGAGCAGCGCTTTTTTTTTTTTTTTTTGGGGCTCAATTGGGGCCATTTGAACTATCTGCTTCCGCGCCGCTGATTAATTCAAGCTCAATAATAGATGAAATGTTTTCCAGGCATGATGGCCTTCTACAAGAGCACGGCCGCCGTTGTCTTCTGGCAGTGGTCTAATCAAACGTTCAACGCCATCGTCAACTTCACGAACCGCTCGGGCACATCGCCCATCAGCCAGTCGTAGGTACCGATCCGTAGCCGAAGTCGCCCTTACTAAAATCGTACCCCGCCTAGGCAATTGATCACCTCGTACTGCCTGGCCACCAGCGGAGCCCTGGCCACGGCCTTGTCCCTCAACCGGGCGGTGAAGAACATGAATCCGCTCCTGGGCCGCCTCGTACCTCTGGTTGCAGTGGGAGCGGCCAACTGCATCAACATTCCCTGCATGCGGATGCAGTAAGTACTGTTTTATCAATAGGACTATTTTATTTTGATAGTGGCCTTTAGATATGTCATTGAAGAGGCTTACTAAAGTATGGTCTTAGAGTCTAGAAACAAACCAAAGCCGATTGACATGATATATTAAAAGTTGAGATTGATTAACACATTGTAGAGAGAAAAGCAATGTTGCAGCTTACACACAATCTAGTGTTTTTTGTATACAAAAAAAATTTTATTTTAAGCAATCACAGTTAGGTTACCCTTTCTGAGTAACTTATTGTAGAGAGAAAAGCAATGTTTCAGGTTGTGTTTTTTGTTTAAAAATATTTTTAAAAAATAGTGTTTTTATTTTAAACAAGCACGACGAGGTTACAGTTTCTGTGATCCTCTGTCTAGTTATAAACCAAAAATGGATTTAAGACTATGTAAAAGCAATTCAATTTAAAATCTAAACCAATTTTATTCAAAAGGGTAAGAAGTAGAGCATCGTAATTCCATATTAGCGCATTTGAAAGGTATTTTTGTTTTATAATAGTGGTAGAATTAAATTTCGGGTATTTAATATAATTTTCTTCTAATCGTTGGCTGTGTCTTTTTCAGGGAGTTGCGTAATGGAGTTGTGCTCCTGGATGAGAACAACAAAGAGATGGGCATATCCAAGAAGGCGGCCGTTGTGGGCATCTCAGCCGTTATCCTGAGTCGAATCGCCATGGCCATTCCCGGAATGAGTAAGTGCTTATGCAGGGAACCCTGAAACCTTGAAATACTTACAATTCCTTAATTTCAGCACTGACGCCACTGCTGATGAATACCCTCGAGAAGAGGGGATTCCTGGCCAGATTTCCACGGTCCAACGCACCCATCCAAACGCTCTTCTGCGGCTTCGTGCTGATTTTCGCCACGCCCCTCGGCTGCGCCTTCTTCAAGCAGCGGGCGGGGATCAAGGTGGACAGTCTGGAGACAGAGGTGCGCGACGATATCAAGAAGAAGCGCCCGGATCTGGACACCGTCTGGTTCAACAAGGGCCTGTGAGCCACTGTGCAATCTACGAGCTTAACGAAGACAATATTGCTTTAATCAGTCGCCTATTTATTTAGTCACCATGCATTTATTAGCATTTTGCCCGTTGAGTTTCGTCCGAAATACTCATGAGATTATTCCTTGGACGCACATTCTTAGCGACGTGAGACGTGAGGGTATGAAATTATTCAGCGTTTTGTGTAAAAGTGAAGAAACCAAATATAGATTCTGTTAACTGTTGGATTTAAACTGCGTTTCCAATTGGAATGCCCGCATCTGGGCGGTGGTCACTGCCAACACCCCCACCCCCCATCTTTAATTGACGTTATTATTATTTAACTTGTCTAGTTCATACAAACGTTGACTATTTTATTAGATTAGACTATAATTGTAGTGCCGACGATTCAATAAAATGAAAAAACGCAAAGATTAATATTTTAAAATTATTTCAAGGTATATTGCCTATCCATTTTGTAATAACGGTTTTCAAATTTGGAGAATATTTTTTTGGTTTTCTAGATTTAGAAAAAAAATACATAAACGGTGTTGTAATAATTTTTCAAAAAAGTAATTAAAATTAAAAAAAAAAAAAACATAAGCAGAATATCATTTTGATAATTCTTAATTAATTATTAAAATTAAATTTAATCATTTATAGTTTTAACAATTTTAAGGTCTTAGCATTTGAGATATCTTTAAATCAAAAATCTGTTATGCATCGGCTAGATGCTAGAATAGTTAGGTAATAGATACTTTAATATAGTAAAAGCCAAAAACCATTCGACCAATATGAAAAATATTTTGACAGAACCAGAACGTTATTTTTTAGTACCTACACATAAAATGGGACTTCATATGAAACGATACGGTAAATTACCATTAATTCCTAGTTGTGCAATATTTTTGAAGCTAATTTTTTTATATTATAGAAAAGTTATAAAACCCAACCCAAACAGTCGCTTGTATAATAAATTATTCAAGTATCTTCAATTTTTCTCAATATTTTTCAAATTGGAAGTAGCACTGCAATTATATTGACCGGCCGATATAAGTCTTCATTTCAGAAAATGGTTGATTTCAATAAAATAAATTGAAAAATGATCCGTATTTCTTTTGTTTTCAACTATATATAGTATAATCTAATGAAATAGTCATGAACTGGAGAAGAGATATAACAATGGGCGTGTTCAGCAAAACAACATGATCACTGATTACTCATGGATCAATAATCAGTGATCAAGTTGGCTGCTGATACTTATCATACATTACGCATTAAATAATTAATTTTTGCTTGTTTTATTTTTGTTTTTATATTTGTTTTGCTTAGATTCTTATTTTTCACTGTATTCTTATCGATATTTAAACCATTGATAAAGGCTACTTTTTTGCTCCTTTTTTGCTGATCATAATGGAAGAATATTTGCATCATGATCAGTGATCGATCATACATATCAGTGATCAGTGATCATGTTGTTCTGCTGAATACGCCCAATAACAAACTTTTAAAGGTGCGTGGCGGTGGCACTATTATTTTTTTTTTGCCCGCAACTGTATTGTCATCGGCCATCGTTATCGTTATCGCGCCAATGCGACGTTGCGCACAATCGTGGCTTGCTCATACCTAACTGCTGGTCGACTCAGCTTGGGCTCGGTTTTGTTTTTTTTAATTAAACTATTATTTAGCTAGCTGTAAATACAATAATTTATTTAGAACTGCTTGGCCACAGCCGCATTTGCCTATTGATACCGTCCAGCAAGCAGAAGCATCCCGAAGCGCCAGTTCTCAAACGTTTGGATTCCGTGGCGAGGAATCGTAATTAAGGTGTGGTTAGATGTTTGCTATGGTAGAACTTCAGTTGTTTAAGCATTGGCTATTAGAATGTGGTCAACTTATATAGTCAGTGGCTTCTTATGAAATAACATTAGTCGCCAAGCAGCGAAAACTGTGTGAAACAAAGTGTTCTATTAAACAATTTCGTAGTAAATTCATCATGGCTTACGACCACGCCTAAACACGCACACACACACACACACACGCGCATACAGCACACGCAATGGGTTTACTAATTCAAACTAATTTGATTGAGCAGCGATCGCCAGATTTGTTTACTTGATATTTGTTTATGCCATTAGTTGGGGATAATAAACAAGACAATATATTCACTCGCTCTTCTGCTTTCAGAAACAATCGAATCTATAGCAAAATGTGCCTTTAGTCTGCTGCAAGACGTCATGAGAAGCAAAAGCCAACGCGATTTAGGAGAAAAACCCCGAACGAATATGTTTCCAAAGAGCTGCCTTTTGGTCGGTCTTCTAGCGCTCCATCTTTTGGACCTGACCGCGGCCCAGTTGCCCGGAGAATTGCCGCCGGGCCAAACGGATCCCCTGCAGCCCGGGCAGCAGCCCCAGACCTATCAGCCCAGCTACAACAAGGACTACTCGCCGCGCTACAATCCGCTCTACACTGGTCAGCAACAGAGCTCGGACTCCAGCCAGTTCGATAATCCCCTGCTCGATGGACAGAGCACCGGCACCTACAAGGGCTACTACGATGGCAGGTTGGGAGCCGGAGGCGTTGGCGGTAATGTGGTCGGACCGGGAAACAACCTGGGCGGGCTGGGGCCCCAGTACGACCCCTTCAACCGGAACAGCATTAGCTCGGCGGGAGTCAACTTCCGCGATGCCTACAGCGACGAGGACAACTTCTGCCCAGAGCACTGGGTGTCGTTTAGGCAGACGTGCTATCGCTTCATCCGCTCGCCCAAGCGCAACTGGGCGGAGGCCAAGAAGATCTGCAAGGCCTACACTGCCGACCTGCTGAACGTGGACAACGTGGAGAAGCACTCGTTTATACTCAAGAACCTCATTCTGCAGAATCAGCGACAGAATCGATTCTTCATCTCTGCACGACAAACAGGTCCACTGAACTGGGTCAACGACGACAACACCCAGCTGGTGCAGATCGAGGACGCGTTTTCCATGGACGAGCATGTGCCGCTGGAAAACGAGGATCTGCACGACAATCGTTTCCTTGTGCAAAACGATCTGAACAACCGAAATCTCAACAATCCCAATCAGTTTTACAACTCGCTGCCGGGCAGCGTTAATCAGCGCAATCAAAATAACCTACGCGGCTATATAGGCACGTACTAATGGGATCCCTTTCGCAGTTGTTGCTTTTCTAATTCTTCTGAATCTTGCAGGTCCCAATCAGCCGTACGGAGACAATGGATATGTACGCGATCGCGTTGTCTACGCTTACTCCAAGAAGAATGATCGCTGGATGTTTATGCCGGCCTACGAAATCGAACTGAATCTCTTTATTTGCGAGTCGAAGGTCCTTTACAGCCCCGACAACGTCAACATTAAGCTGGACGACAAGCGGCCCTATCACTATGGACTCGATATTACGGACATGGAACGCATTCCGCGGGGTCCGTACTTCGTAAAGCAGCCGAACGACACGACATTCGATGTGAACAAGAATCGCCTGATCAACGATGTAACACTGAGCTGTTTGGCTGGCGGCTATCCGACGCCTTCGTACTTGTGGTACCGCGAAGTGTACGTGAACGACACACTGGAGTACCAGAAGATCGATCCCCTGGCGCAGGATCGATACACGATATCGGGGGGCAACCTGATCATCTACGAGCCCAAGCAGGCACTGGACCAGGGCGCCTATCATTGCGTGGCAGAGAACAAATTCGGACGCATTCGATCCGAAAGCGCTCATCTCAACTTCGGCTTCATCATGGAGTTCAATCTAAAACGTTCAGCGGAGACGAGCGAGATGAACTGGGGCAAGTCCATATTTTGTGACCCACCGCAGCATTATCCCGATGTGCGTTATTACTGGGCACGCGACTATTTCCCCAACTTTGTGGAGGAGGACCAGCGTGTGTTCGTCTCCCGGGATGGTGCCCTATACTTCTCCTTCATAGAGACCGTCGACAGGGCCAACTACTCGTGCACCGTACAGACCCTTGTGTCGGACACCGGTCGCAATGGACCCTTTTTCCCGCTGCGCGTGACGCCCAACAGCAACTATCAGGCGCTGATATTCGCCAACACCTTTCCCAAAGTCTTCCCGGAGGCGCCGGTGGCTGGTGACGAGATTCGACTGGAGTGCATGGGTTTCGGCTACCCCATTCCGTCGTACAACTGGACGCGCCAAGGACTACCACTCCAGCGCAATGCGTACACCATCAACTACGGGCGAGTGTTGATCATCCAGAATGCCACGACGAACGACAACGGCGAGTACTCGTGCACCATTACCAATCCCCGCAAGACGCTCACCAAGAGCATCTACATCAACATCCAAATGCGGCCGCAGTTCACCATTCCGCTCAAGGACATGATCAAAGACTACAACAGCGATGTGACCTTCATATGTGAGGCATTCGCCATTCCGGATGCCAACTACACGTGGTACAAAAACGCAGAACGCCTCGATCCCGCAACCATTAATCGTGATCGCTATATCATCCAAGACAATGTTCTGACCATTAAGTTTTTGGAAAAGGATAAGGACGAGGCAATGTACCAGTGTGGTGCCCAAAATCAGCTAAAAACGGCCTTCTCTTCGGCACAACTCCGTGTGCTGTCCATGAAACCGTCCTTTAAGAAACATCCCCTCGAGTCCGAGGTCTATGCGGTCTACAATGGCAACACCACCATTGTGTGCGATCCCGAAGCCGCTCCACGGCCCAAGTTCCAATGGAAGAAGGACGGCCAGGTCATTGGCTCGGGTGGTCACCGACGCATCCTACCCAGCGGCACCCTCAACATTGCGCCCACGTCGCGAGACGATGAGGGCGTTTACTCCTGCATTGCATCCAATCAGGCCGGCACCGATGAATCCCATGCCCGCGTTATTGTTTTGCGTAAGAAAAGCATTTAATATGTCTTCGTCAAATGTAAACTATTTGTAATTATTTGCAGAGGAAATTCGGTTTATTGAAACGCCTCCGCAGCGCATAGTTGCCAAGGAGCATGACCTAATCTTTTTGCATTGTGAGGCCGCCTTCGATGAACTGCTGGACATTGCTTACGTTTGGAAGCACAACGGCGAACTCCTGAAGAACAACCACGACGGCACCGGACGTATTGTAAGTTGGTCTGTAATTAATCCGTCCTGCTAATTAATCCGAATTCTACGCATTTGCAGATTGTTGACTGGAACAGATTGACGGTGCATAACACCACCATGCGTGATGCCGGCGACTACGAGTGCGTGGTCAAGTCGGCGGTCAATGAGATTAGCAGCAAGACCAGTGTGTCCATCGAGGGAGCACCTGGAGCTCCAGGCGGCGTTCAAGTCATACAGATCAGTAAGACGAAGGCAATCATTGAGTGGGTGGACGGAGCGAACAATGGCCGGCCAATTCGCTACTACAACATCCTCGGACGCACCAACTGGAACCGCACATGGGTGAATGTATCGACGCATGTGCAGTCGCGCGAGGTGGATCGCTATACGGCGCGCCAACAAGCCGAGGTGGTCAATCTGACGCCGTGGTCGGCCTACGAGTTCAGTGTGACGGCCGTTAATGACTTGGGCATTGGAACGCCATCAGCACCGTCGCCCATCTATAGCACCTATGAGGACAAGCCCTACATTGCGCCGAGGAACGTGGGCGGTGGAGGCGGTAAGATCGGCGACCTGACGATTACCTGGGATCCGCTGTTGCCGCAAGAGCAGCACAGCCACGGAATACACTACAAGGTGTTCTGGAAGCTGAAGGGTGCCATCGAGTGGGCTTCGGACGAGATCAAGAAACAGGACCATATGGGCGTGGCCGTGGTCAACATACCGCTGAACAATTACTACACGGAGTATGAGGTCAAGGTGCAGGCCATCAACAGCATTGGCAAGGGACCGGAAAGTGGCATTGCTGTCATCCACTCGGCCGAGGACATGCCACAAGTGGCTCCCCAGAAGCCGTTTGCGCTCGCCTTCAACTCCACCTGCTTTAACGTCACCTGGCAACCGATCGACATGTCCCGCGAGAACATTCGCGGCAAACTCATTGGCCACAGGGTAAGGATAACGATCTAAATTGTGTATTGTGATTAACTGTTTCGCGTTTTAGTTGAAGTATTGGAAAACAACGCATCAGGAAGAAGACTCCGTGTACTACCTGTCACGCACGACCAGAAATTGGGCACTGATCGTTGGTTTGCAGCCGGACACGTACTACTTTGTGAAGGTCATGGCATACAATGCTGCTGGAGAAGGACCCGAAAGCGAACGCTTTGAAGGTGGGTTCTAAAAAACAGTATTTATACAGAATAAATAACCTTTTGTTTTCCAGAGCGCACATATCGAAAGGCCCCGCAAAAGCCACCGTCTTCGGTTCATGTGTATGGAATAAATCCGTCCACGGTGCGAGTTGTATGGCGTTACGTTTCACCCTCGCAGGACGAGGAACCAGTCGAGGGCTACAAGGTAAGCCGGCTGACACCCCAAAAGTCCAAGAAAGTGTTTACTAACATCCCACAATATTTAAGGTTCGCATTTGGGAAACGGACCAGAACATGATCACAGCCAACAATACCATCGTGCCAATTGGACAGAAGCTGGAGTCCTACATCAATAACCTCACGCCCGGAAAGAGCTACAACATGCGAGTTCTGGCCTTCAGCAACGGAGGCGATGGCCGCATGTCCAGTCCCACGCTGCGCTTCCAAATGGGCAAGACGACGCGGAATGCGGCAAATACCCGTCATGGCCATAACATCAATACGGCACTAATCTTAAGCACATTGCTACTCCTCACCACCTTTTTCTACACAAGCCACTGAAGGCAGCACAAATCAAGGATGCAGAAACTTAGGCAGTAAGAAAATATATTATACTAAGAAGTGACCTTATATAAGAGTAAGTAGTGCAGGCAGTTAAACATATACATTCCATTTTTACTCTTGCTCTAAATTATGTAAATGCAATTCCGTCCACTTTAAAGACTTTTTAAAAACAAATAAATTTATATCTTTCCAAGTATTTATGTTGTCAATAAGAACTTATTCAACTAAAGTCAATTAAGTATTAATACCAGTGACAGTTGCAACTTTCATTTAAAACTAATTTGTATTATCATTATTTTTCAGAAAAAACGATAGTTATTTTTACTTTTACATAAAAGCCTAAAAATAACTGTTATTTTTAGGTCAATAAATAAAATTACGTATTTTAATGACTTGCTTAATTTACCTATGATACAAGCCAAGAGTTGAAAAAAGGTAGAAAGCTACCTAGAAGTTAATACGTTCAAAAGAGGAACTTTTTGAAAACTTCTAGTATCAGGAACTAACCTTTCCATTAGCATCATGTCTCCCAAAAATGGTTGCACTTCGCTTAATAAGAATATTGCTGAAAATTTTAGCTTTTTAACAGGAAATTCGATATTATGCTTGAATAAAACACGTACCAGACCTTTTTTATTAAGCAGTTTTGAGTTGCTTCCAAAAAGAAAAAAATGTTCACTAGAACTTTATTTTTAGGGCGATAATATTTTTTCTTGATCCATTGTTATTTAAGTTTATTTTATCACACTCGCATATGTCTATCTGAACTATACCAACCATTTATAAAATGTTATGAAAACTAAAGATTTTTTTTTGACTGTCGGCTTAAATAAACGGGTTTGCCGAAGTCCACGATTTTTTTGCTTTAAAACTAAAGCTTAAAAAATAAATTTTTTCAAAAGTGGTTATTAATGACTGCTTGATCAAATTGTATATTCATAATAAGTTGAGTCTTGCCTTTGTTGCGCATAGCGTTTTGAGGGAAAGCTAACGACTATTTCTTTGGCGGACATTTTTGATCAAATCTTATACTAAAGATAATTTACAAGCAATTTTTTAAAACATAACTTACAGGTTTTCTCTTTTGAAAAGCCAGTTGATTTAAATAAAAAATGAAACTCGAAAAAAAAATCAATATACGTTATTTCAAATTTTGAGTGGAATTGAACTCCCTGATTAAGAATAACTACTTTTTTATGTTATCGTTTTTTTATTTATGAAAGTTACGTTATTGACCTGTTTTTATGTATATTTTATTTTTTCTCAATTTGGCCAATTGGCCATTATCAATTGTTAATAGAAGTATTAAATCCTTCAATATACCTTACACGTCATTAAGATCGGTTAGCCATTTTTTTCCTTAAGTGCACCTGCCTTTATTAAATTTGTAATTCAACTTGCACTTCAAAAACATGGCTTGGAGAAGCTTTCCGATGCAACTTTGTTATAGGTCGCCATTAATGAGCTTCACAAGTTGCAGGAATACCCCCAATATTGGGTGACTAATCCAGTATTTTTTTTTTTAGTATTTTTGCGATTACTATTGAATGGTTGGCTACGGTCACACTGCGATACTGCACACTGCCGCAGTAGCAAAAAAGCAGTAAATGCAAACATGATTTTATAACGCACATCCATCCACACTGGACATCTGGAATCTGAACTATCGACCCGCCCAAGGCACACGCCCTCCCACAAAGAGAACCGGTAGCTAGGTGAGCAGCATGGCCAAGGCGAACGGATGGAATGGCTGCGGTACGGGCATGCAGGTGAACGGAAGCGGGAGTGGGATTGGGAGCGGGAGCGGGAGCGGGAACAACGCCTCCATATGCTCATCATCCTCCTCCTCCTCCAAGTACTCGCGCAGCACGGAACTGCGACGCGTTGAGGACAACGACATCTACCGGCTGGCCAAGATCCTGGACGAGAACGCCTGCTGGCGCAAACTCATGTCGATCATTCCGAAGGGCATGGATGTGCAGGCCTGCAGCGTCGACGGAGGCCTAAACTTCCCGTTGGCCGTGAAGAAGGGACTGAAGTACACGGCCCAGGACGTGTTCCAGATCGACGAGGCGGCGAACCGGCTGCCGCCCGACCAGAGCAAGTCCCAGATGATGATCGACGAGTGGAAGACCTCGGGCAAGCTCAACGAACGTCCCACGGTGGGAGTGCTGCTCCAACTGCTGGTGCAGGCGGAGCTGTTCAGCGCCGCGGACTTTGTGGCTCTGGACTTCCTAAATGGTGAGTCAGCAGCGTTTTTTTTTTTGGCTCAATGGCAAAATCTATCTGTTTTATCTTTGTCTGCCCCAGAATCCACACCTGGTCGCCCGGTAGACGGGCCCGCTGCTCCCATTAGCCTGGAGCTGCTGGACGAGGACATGGACGTGGACAACGAGAGCCTGAGTCCCGGCCACCAGCCGAGCACTGCCACCCTTGAGGCGGTGGCTGCCCAGGGCAGCGTTGGCCCCAATCTGGACATCTTTGACAAGCACATGGTGGCGCGGGACAAGAGTGTGCCGCAGCCGTCGGGGGATGCACCTCCCGTAGCTCCACCACGACGCCTGCAAAGAACCACTGCGAGCTCCAGTTCCGTCGCCTCCTCGTCGGCTACCACGGCCACCACCTCAAACATACCCAATCTGACAATTCTCAATCCCAGCGAACAAATAGCGGAGCAGCTGCTGCAGCCGCGTCCGCAAAACATACCCAATCTGTCCATACTCATCGACAGCTCTGGTGATTCAACGACGACGGCCTCGACTTTGCTGTCCAACCCAAGCAGCAACCGTGCTGGCTCCACCGAACCGGCAAACATACCGCGAATCACGCTTCTAATTGATAACTCTGCAGAGATTGGCCCTCGCGCCACTCACGGTGCAGTGAAAGCTGTGAAGGTTCCAACGCCCCCGGCGAACTTTAACAACTTGCCCATGATAAGCGCTTTGAACATTAGCAATGACAATGGGAGGGAGACCTCCTCACGCCCAGACAGTAGTAGCAGCAGCAGCAGCAGCAGCAGCACAAGCAGCTTGAGCAACGATGATGAGGATGATGACGATGGGGAGGGGGATGGGGATGGAGAGTTTGCGGATGCCTCGCTGCCAAACCTGAGCAACTCCGAGCAGCAGAACTCCAACAATGACTCCAGCCTGACAACGGTCACTGGCACCAGCGGTGACAATAGCTTCGAGCTGACCAACGACTCCAGTTCGACCTCTAACGACGATTACGCCTGCAACATTCCGAACTTGAGTGAGCTGCAGCAGCTGTAGGGAGCGACGCCCGTCTCCGGAGACGATTGCCACGACATTCCAGACATTCCGTTAACCACTTTAGCTTAAGTTATCTTTGTTCAAGCCGCGTGTATTTATGTGTTTGCCGATATATCGGCGTCTGGATGTGGATGTGGATGCGGACCTACTTTAATTCTGCATACTGTGTAAGGTCCAACTAGAATCTAAGATTCAGGGCAAGCTTTCGACATACTATTGTTTTGTTGTCCATATCACGGCTACCGACAGTCCATGACAAGTGCGGCAATATCAAATATTTCCGTTTCGAGAAAGCCATATGTATGTAACCAAATAACCGATTCTAACCAATTTTGTATGTCTTACAAAATACTCTTTAATTTGACTAGTATAAATATACTTTAAAAAAAATAGCAGTGACTGCATTTTTTTTGTGTTGGGACTGGTTTAGTTTAGTGGGCTTATTAGAGCCCTTCCGAACTTAGCCAATTGAAACCCATTTAAACGTCTATTATCAAATATTTTGAGCTAGCTAAGCTTGGGTGTAGTGAATGAACATTTAATAATTAAAAGTAAGTAACATTTAATAATCAAGTAAAAACTTGAAAAAAGCTTTTTAAATTGGTGTTATTGCGAAATCAGTTCTCAAGATCTTAATGGTAATGGTCCCTTATGAAACAAGCCACCCATTTTTAAAAAAATTAAAAACAAAAATGTATTTCGGAATAGAAGTCAAATGCAACAAACCGAAGTTTTAGGCACTTTAGAGAACAAATTCATAACTTTAGACTTCTATGCTTAAATTGACTGCAATTTTTTGAAAAATGTATCTAATGTTAAACGTAATTTTTAGTTTCCCCTGAGCAAGGCCATACTTTTTACTTTCTTACTTTCGGATTATAAATTTGCAAATGAAAGCTGAAAATAAAATTGCTTCTTATTTCTAGAAGAATTTTAAACGCTCAATCTTTTGTATATATTTTTATATGTTTACAAACAAAATATAAGTCTACATTTTCGTCAATTGATTTAATTAATTGTATTAATTAATTCATTTTATTTGTTTGTAAATGCCACCTATGAACATGAACTGACATTTTAAAAAAATTTCATAACTTGGTCATCGGCGGCATCGCGATGTTTAGTAAATATCGATTAAAAATATCGATATGCCCGAAAGTGCAATCGATGGCCTCACAGCACTTGCAGCAGCAACAACAACAACAATAACACTTAGAACTACGAACCAAGAATAACAACAGCGGGCAAATATTTTATTGGGCAGCTCGGTCAGATTATCAGTTTTCGTCAAAAATCCACCAAAATTATTCGCAACATGGACGAGTCGGAACTGCTATTCAATCTCTTCTACTTCCTGCTGTGCATGGTCATCATTTATCCCCCGGAGGAGTTCCAACGGCTGGGCTTCACCATCGAGCAATTGTTTTCTCGGTTTCTGGGCGAAGAGTACCTGGACTTTGTGGGATACCACCTGCGCCGCACCTCGCTCAATCTCTTCGTGCACTCCTGCCTGCCGTTCTCCTACTTTCTCATCCACAGGCTCAAGTTCTCCGTCTTTGCCACGCAGGAGCCTTTGGAGGATTCCGATCTTGACCCAGATTTCCCGATGCCCCAGGAGGCGGTGGCGTTCAAGACGCTGACGTGGAAGACCGCCCAGCGGTTCAGTGTGCTGGCCGTTTTGGCCGTGCCCGCCCTCATCTTCAACTGGCATCAGCAGAACTGGCGCCGACACCCGATCTGCAAGGCCCTGTCCAAGTACTCCAACTCGCCGGGCAGCTACAGTGCCGTGGCCAGCGACATTGGCACCGAGTTCCGCCGTCCGGAAATATACAAGAAGAAGCTGAACTCCATCAGCACTGTGATTGCCACACAGAACTGGATAATCAAGACCACCATGTACAATGTGCATTTCGCTCACCAGAGCAACACGTCGCTCAGCGTGGCCAAGGTCAGTTTGGCAGTTAAGCACGGTTCTGCAACCGGTGGATGACTAAAACCTTTCTTCTCTGCAGGCGGAGACATACAACATATCGCATCACGACCAGAACGACACTCTGCAGATGATCAGCATTGTGGTGCGGCCGATGAGACAGGGCGTGAGCGACTTTCACATACGTATCAACGCGTTGGAGTTCAGGAACCTGGAGGACCGTGTGCGTCGGCCCATCGCCATACCCTCCAACATCCAGTTCCACCGCAACGTCATCGACCGCTTCGTGGACGTGTTCAAGACGCAGGTCGCCCTAAATCCCGTCTTTCAGGCGGAATCCACCACAGACAAGTGCTTCGCCTGCATGCTGAACGAACCAAACACCAAGATCCACAAGCAGTGTGCCGACCTGGATCGCCATGGCGCTCCACTTGCGGAAGCGGCGTGCTGCTCCAACTGCTACTGCCGACCCATGTGGTGCGTGGAGTGCCTGGCACGGTGGTTTGCCGCCCGCCAAACCGACGTGGATCGCGAGGTGTGGCTGGAGCAGAAGTGCACCTGCCCCATGTGCCGGGCCAAGTTCTGTGTGCTCGATGTCAGCTACATTAGACCATCTCCGTATCGCGGAGCAGAACACGAGGCTGATGATACCACGTGATTAACGACTGTTAAAGTAACAATTAAACGACTCTTAAACCGAACCTGGTTCTTTATTGGTCTGATTTAAATATAATCATTTTCACTAAAGTTAGGCGTACATCTCTATAGCTATACATTAAAAAATATATGCATATTAATTAGTGCAATTATCACGTTTTAATACTTTAACACTCTAAACAAGCCAGAATGCAGTATGAAATAATTTGACTTAAGTACAATTGATCTAAGCATAAAGAGAGAGAAAGTGATGGTGTGCAAAGTATGTATGCCTTACTAAACATTAAATCAAGGCTAATCAAGCCGCTCAAAGTGTCTCGTCTTCCCTGCGCTGCATTGCCAGCACGTAGTGCAATAAGTCCTTTCACTGCCCCACCCTTTCTCTTTCTTGTCCACTCAATCTGATAAAATAAAGCGTCATGCTAAGCTATATATGTACATATGCATGATAGTTGTGTACATTGTAAGGAAAGTAGTGCTTATTCAATACAGCCGGACTGCTTGACAAGGCGCCCATTATCTATAAATTCGTTTCGTAAAAACTTTTATAGCTCTCCACTTGGTCACGTTGGCTTCTCGCCTGGGTGCCCGGGTTCGACGTCGAAGGGGCGCCGGACTTGGACGCAGTGCGACTGGAGACCTGAAGCAAAAGATGGTCGATTAGTAAGAGATCCTTACAGCCACTGTCTTCATAGTTCAATTAAATTAAATTATTTAGAATAATTTAAAATGTTTATGTTTTTTTATCCATCAGCAAACTATCTTTTACTACAAGAACTTATCCCGTGCCCTATAACAATAAATAAATAATAAATTAAATGGGATCAAATTCACCACTAGTCGCTAGTTTAAAAAAACTAAACTAACTAAAGTTTACCAATAGTTAGTTGATAGTTTAACAGAACTACATTATTTAGAGTAACATACAATGCTTATGTTTTTTTATCCATCAGTAATGCAAACCATATATCTTATTAGAACTAACACCGTGCCCCTTAACAATAAATAAAAAATAAATTAAATGGGATCAAATTCACCACTAGTCGCTAGTTTAAAAAAACTAAATTATTTAGAATTACCTACAATATCTATGTTTTTATCCATTAGTAATGCCATCTTTTACTACAAGAACTATCCCCCTAACAATAAATAAAAATAAATTAAATGGGATCAAGTTTACTACTAAATAGTCGGTAGTTATACAATACATAATTATTTACAATAACCTGCAATATTTATGTTTTTTTTTATCTATAAGTAATGCAAACATATTTCTTACTACAAAAACTATCCCCGTGCCCCTAACTATAAATAAAAATAATTTAAATGGGATCAAGTTTACCACTAGTTAGTCGCTAGTTTAACAAAACTAAATTATTTAGAATAATGTTATGTTTTTTATCTATTGCATTGCTTTGCATTGCATTGCTAAACATAACCATTAGTAATGCAATCCTATGTTTTTTAACTAAAAGAACTATTCGGTGCCCTCTAACAATAAATAAAAAGCAGCATCAAATAGGTTTCTCTGAAGTTCAACGCTCAGACGGCGCTGACTCGGCAATAAAGTAATCGATCGTTCGGTCAATGAATTCTCGTTGCGCAATTAAATCGGCAACCAAGACAGAAAGCCAGCTTCATCAAGACAAAGTTTATATGTCCTTAAAGCTATACAAAATTGGCTAGTCAATAAACTTAGTCATTTCATTCCTAGTGATCTGGTCTGGATAAAAAAATGCATTTTAATTTTATCTGGTATTTCCGTTTCTTGCTTGATATAAACGTAAACTAAACGGTATCTACCATAAGCTTAACGTTAAATACCCTTTGCAAGGGTATAAAAACACACCTTTTTTTGCCCCTCATCTCACCCAAATTTCGCACTTCAGCTGCCGTTCTGTAAATCTATTTCGGGTTTTTATCTTTTAGGCTAAATTGAAATGGTGTTGTTTTAAAATCCTTGCAGGGGGTACCGTTATATTAGCCAGATATCTGTAAGGCATTCTAATAAATTCTTTCAAATATAGATACCCCTTACTCAGCTAAACAATATCGAAACAATAAATATGCCTCCTGAAAATAATATTCCCCTGAAATTCGCCATCATTTACCGGAAAAATTTCATTAAAACTTATAACTTTTAAAATAATGGTTCGTGTTGGATAGATTTTGAACAAATAAATACATATAGCTTTAAGAGCGTAAGAGTGGGCGTGGTCCCATTAAAAAAATAAACTGGCGATGCGTGCATATTAAACCCTATATCTCTAACTTTTATTGTTTTTGAGATATCGATGTTTATAAGGTCGGACAGACAAACGGATCGGCTAGATCTCTAGATCCTGATCAAGAATATATATACTTTACAGTGTACCTTCTACCTGTTACATACTTTTCAACGAATACAATATTCTCTTTTACTCTACAAGTAACTGATATTTACATATATGTATTATAAATTTGCAAAACAAATTTTACGATGAAATCATGGGTTTGCAAGCCTTAGCAGTCAAGTATATAATGTCTGGTTTTTGGCAGTCCATTGTATTGCCCATTTAATATGACCCCTGGGTGTCTTTGCTCATATTATTTATAAGTATATAGAGTAACTTAGTACATGACGAATTTCACACACTACTCTCACGGGGGTCGTCGTCTTGGTCCCGTGACGTACATATAGGGTTTCCCAATAGGGAAGTTGGTCGGTAAGTTCGTTCTTGGGTGAAGGTGAACATGCAAAACAGAGTTCGGCAAAAAAAAGGGGAGAAGTACCTACATATAAGGCTATAAACGTTTATATAGTATATTGATCTGGCACACCACTGGGACGCTTTGTTGTGCTGCTTGATTTTGTTTACTTTTTGTTATATTTCGAACAAAACAACAAGAGAGTTCTACGTTTTGAACTGCGTTTTATGAATTTGTGTGAGGTTTTTTGCCCAATTTAAAATTTTACAACTCTTTAAGATAAGTTAATTTACAATGTGATGGAGTAAGGTGTACTAAGTATTTTTCGCTACCATTCGTTTGGGTGAACGTCTTGAATTTCGCAATGGTTTCCAAATGCGAAAAAGCAAAAAGTCCCTTTACAATCTAATCTTATCATAACAGAGGTTCTCTTTACATATAAATCTTTGCAAAGTTTCTCATCCGAGGGCAAAGTACACATGTCCTTAAGTTTTGACTGGGATATCATGTCATCTCGAATACCCTTCGTCTAAGGAGTTGTGGGGTAATACATATTAATAGCTGTATCGGCATCTACTGAAATCTGTTAAACAGTTTACGTTGTCAGTTTTTACACCTAAAGAATGTTTATAAAATGGCTTATACTGACTTCAATCCCGATTCCCGATGATTTTATAGATTTCCATTTAAGTGATTTCCGTTTCTGGTGTTTTCGATTTCACTCAACTCCCCAAGTGACAATAAGCTAAACAAACTCGCACCTATAAATATGTGTGGGTATTACTTGGTATAGGCACACAGACCTTTTTGTATACACAACGAGAACAAATCTTTGAGACTTTCCCGATGCACTTGAGAGTAGGCCTTATCAAAACAAAAACCCACTCCTGTTCCGTTAACGAGTAGTTCCGCTCTGTATTTTACGCTGCAGCTGACGACAAACAACGGTGTTCCAGGCACTAACTAACCAGAATAGGTGCAGATTACCTATCGCAGCAGATAGCCCACTGAAATCACCCACTGAAATCACGAACCCCATTCGCCATATGGGCTGCTCACTTGCTGGTTTTTTTTTTAGATATGGGTGGGACCGCACCTTTTCACTGTCCTTCGGGGTTCCTGTTCCTGTTCCCGATCCTGATCCTGCGTCAAAGAGCTTGCCGTCCACAGCGTCTCGCTTCTTGTTCTTCGAGCGGAAGCGTCCGGATCGGGAGATGGAGAAGTTGCGCCACTGGTGGCCGTACTCGCAACGCTTCTCCTCCTCGTTGAGTACACTGTCCAGGTAGTGGATCGTCGGCTCGTGGGCGGCTGCCATCGTGTTGCTCATGATTTCAGCAGATAGATAGTCCAATCGATTCCTCTTTTCGTCGTTGTGGCTGGCTGGTGCTGTTTCCGATACTGCTGTTGTGATAACGTCGATTCGAACACAGGGCGATAGCCGAACTCGCTTCACTTCCACCGGCACAGATGGTTTTTGTTTTTATTTTTATTTTTTGTATTTATTTTTTGTTTTTGTTTTTATTTTTTGTTTTTGTTTTTATTTATTTTTTTTTTGTTTTTGTTTTTTGTTTTTTTTTCCTTTTCCTTTTTGTTTTTGTTTTTGTTTTTCCTTTTTGTTTTTGTTTTTTTTTCCTTTTTGTTTTTGTTTTTGCTTTCTTTTTTTCTTTTTGTTTTGACTGCGTTCGTGGCGAGACAGGGCCGAATGCGAATCCGAATGCGAATCCGAATCGTAGTTGCCGTGGAGCGTGTGGTCTGCGACTGCGGCCAAGTTCCCGGCGCTGCTGCTACCAAAGCAAACCAAAACCAACCGACCGACCCGAAATGACAACCAACCAACTAACCGACCAACCAACCACTCGACGCCGGCGTCGAGTTGAGTTGAGTTCAGTTGACGCCGACTCCAGCTGCAGCGCTTCGTCTTCGTCTGCGTCACAAAGAACAACGCAGCAGCAGTTGGAGTCGAAGAGTTCGAGGGGCGAAGGGGCAAAGGGGCGAATGGGGGAAGTGGGAAGCCAGCGAAAACTCTTTCCGTCGCAGCTCCAGCTCCAGAGCTCCACAGCTCCAGACCGTGTGACTTTGCTCCTGAAGGCCCACACAGCCGCAATCGCCGAGCACAAATGTACACATACACATGGGTACGTCGTGCCACCAGTGATGACCAAAATCCACCTATCTTAGAATTTTTTTTTTTTATTTTTTATTAAGAAACTCGTAGTCTAGGATAGGACTACCCCCAAGCCAAGTATTTTGATAATACTTTTAAAGTTAACAGATATTTTAAACTGAAATAAAAGGTTAGTATCGTGAATTCATCAAATGATCATTAAAGATAAAAAGAAAATTAATTACACCAGCACTCAATAATCCTGCAAAACTGTTACCAGTCAAGTATTTTTTTTTTTAGATTTTAAAGCCGTGTCCTGGAAGTGTGTATAAAAGGTTAAGGCTTAACTACATATCTGCTTAAAGTACATTATATTGAAATTGATTAAATCCCTATATTTATGCTAAGGTTGTTTAATAGCGTACGGTATTTTGCTGTCAAGGGAATAAACTTGTTTGGCGCTAGCAATTGAAAATTTGGCATTTAAAATCTTTTGACAAATTCCTTAATTTATCATATTATTTAAAAAAAAATCTCTTTCGTTGTTTTTGCGGTTAAAGAATGGATATTGTGTCACGAATGTTTTCTTTCCACTATTTCCACACATCGAATTTTGCGAAAAACAAAAAAACTGATTTTGCAAATTAATTTTATTATAATTCTCCAATTTGTTCTTAAAACATATGATAAGAGTTCAAGAAACAGTATCAATATAATTCCAGGACTCAAAAACAACAACTACAGACAAACTAAACAATAGCTATTAATTATAATACATTTATTTTTAATGTAGTGATGATAATCAAGTTTTATGATAACTATTTGAGTTCCATAATGGCTATAAATAAAAATATCAATATCAAAATTACTTTAAATGTTTTTTTACGAACGCGACGTTTTTGAAATGACCGTTGGAAAAGGTTTTTTTTTGTTCTGAGGGCAAACCAATCGTAAAATTAGCTTGGTCGATTTATGGCCAAAAGTTAGGGCGACATCACTAGTCACAGGTATTATATTTCAGCCTTTGTATGTGAAGAGTAAGCGTTGTGTGTTGGTTTATACCAACTTGGCCCACCTTCGTAGGTCTTTTTTTAATACCCTGACTAATATCGTAACTGATTACATACATAAGTCCTACCAAATACATCAATTATTTTTCCATTCGTTTTCTTTTCATTAACTTAAGTGAACTTTGTAACTGTTTTTCCCCATTTCCATTGGAGACGCTCATATACTGACACACAAACTGATGACTTAAAGGGCATCGGAAAGTCAGTGCTGCGCAAAGTTGATCGCTCATCGTATTTTAGCGTATCTGCCAAATGCACACCCGTATCTTGCGCTATACCTATAGCTATACCTATACCTATAGCTATACCTGTGCTCCCGATGATAAGCGCAAATAGACAAAACAAACACACAACTTGCTAACAATTATAAACGATTAGATCGCTTTTTGGAGCATTCACTTCGGGCAGTTCTTTAACAGTATATTTTGTCTCTGCTGTATAGACACCAAACTGAAGACTGATTCTGTCGATCGTTGGAAGCCAAGTTAACGCAAGCTAGTACATATGTATGTATATATGTGAATCAGGCAACAGCAGCACGAATGCAAATAAAAAAAACACCTCCTAGGTCAGCACAAGCTCCACTGTCAGGCGGTCAGTTACTTTGCGGGTTCATTATCTCATTGAATCGCAGTGACTCAGCAACGCAAAAGTCATACTTGTGTTCAGTAAACGCATTACTCACTTTTTCCTGCTTCCCCTCCTCCTTCCTTTCTTACTTTCTTCCTTTCTAGCTAGCATCAGTAATTCTATCTAATCTGTCATCCTAATCAGAAACTGCATTTAACACAAATATTTTGGGCCGAATCAAAACCAAAGTTCACTGTAATCATGGTTAGGTTATAACTCACCCACAGCCGAGGGTTTTGCTTTTATTTACAGAGGCAACTTTTTAATTTACAAAAAGGGTAACGTATAAATTCAAGTGTGTGGAAGCATACATATGTATATACATATATGTATATGTAAATCCACTATGTACTATATCGATATTATATCTACACGCAAGGACATGGCGGATTTTTGTTGAATTGTTAACAAAATATTTGCCAGGTTTAGCTGGCATCTAGTTTGAATATACATTTATTTTCCGGCCATTACACATAGTGTACTTTAACAATAAATTTAGCTTGCTTACCTGCAAACAGTTTGCCACATTCTCAGCCACCACACATAAAGCCAATTTTAAGTGGGCTTGTTGTGTGTGGGTTGTGTGTCCTTGCAAGTGTGAGAGGTAAAACAATTAACTTAAAACAAACGATTAATCGTGGAAAACAGTTGGCCCTATAAATTGGATCCAATCCAATCCGATCCCAATGCCTTCTAGACAACACTACCGCCACTGTTGCCGCGTGGGCGATTGATTCCTGCATCCATTCGCTGCACCGGTGGTACTGGTCGCTGCGGCTGCTGCGGCTGCTGTTGCGGGTCCTGTCGTGGTGCGCCTGCGCCTGCGGCGTTGTTATTGTTGCGATGCATAAAATTGCGGATATTCTCCTCCGTGTAGTCCTCGATTCTACGCTTCTTACGGCGGCCGTACTGCTCCTGCTTGAGGTAAATCTTGAGGATTCCCTTAACCGTTATAAAGGTGAGTCCGCCGAGCAGAGTGCGGTGCAACGTATTGTCCACGGAGTCAAAGAGAATCCGACCCAGAATCGAGGATATGGTGGGCAGCAGCAGGGCGCCACAGAAAACGCGCGTGGCCGATACTGGATCGGTCAGCGCCGGGGTGGCCGGATTGCTGGTGCTCTGCTGCTCATCATCCTGGTTGCTGTTTGCGACAAACGACAAGGGTTATAGGAGCTGATAGTCTGGCGTCTGGGATGTGTGCACTTACAGGTTCGGATAGATGAGGCTCACAAAGGGAAACTTACGCACCACCGTGCCGCGGTTACGAATCAGACGCAACAGTGCATCCTCCCAGCGAATCAAGCGGCCAAGTACCAGTCCCACCGGTATTGCCGGCAGTCCGATGAGGAGCACGAGCGGATCGCCGGCCTCCATGATGGACATGCCGTGCTCATGGCCCACGATCTGCAATGTTGCGTTCGGTTAGCATTGGGGGCACGAGGGCATGAGGGCATGAGGGCAACAAGTGGGGTTATTCAGAGCGTCATACCTGCAAGAATGTGACCGCACCGTACGAGACGGCTGTCCAGTACAGGGAGCCCACAAAGAAGCCAGCCGCCAGGAAGGGGCTCAGGCGCTTGATGAGATTGTCCATCGCCTCCAGGGCGCGTCCGAATTTGCCCATCTGCGGGAACACGATTATGTACTCCGTCTGGCACTGCGGACAGGACACGGAGCGCAGGGCGTTGCCCCTTTGCGTTTTCTCGTCGATCCAGCGGTAGAGGCAGCTCTGGTGCACCCACTTGGTGGTGCCGCGGCACTGGCAGGGTCTCACCCACGCCGCCAGCCGGTTGTCCTCGTCGGTGGCAAAGCAGATCCAGCAGCAGCGTTCCGCCTCCGCCCCATCCCCCACCTGGACCTGAACGGTGGTGGACGTGGTGGTGTCTGCGGGCGCTTTGTTAGCTTGTGGCGCAGGCAGCGCAATTGGCACGGTCAGCGTGGTGTGATCCTCTCCAGCTGCGGCTGCAGCTGCAGGTGCAGGTGCCGCACTGTCTGCGGGGGGCACTGCAGCTTCGTCGGCCATTGGGCTGGGCTGCAATAAGTCACACCATGTACTTGTATTTATGTTAATCGGCTTCCCACTTACTTGGTTCCTGCTCCGTTTTCTGTGCGTTGCTCCGCCCTTTTTGTCGACTGAAGCTTGTGCTTTCACTTTTGTTCTCAGAGTTTCTTAACTTTGCTTCTATTGTGCCGTCTCAATGAAAATAAAACTAAACTAAAATAATCTGATATATTCTGTAGGGCACATTCGATGATTTTAGTGGGACCAGATCCTAGTTACTATTTTATTGCTGCGCGTTCAGAATTCGATATTATCGCATCAAAAAATTTATTTGATAGGGGGTTTCCTGAACCGTTATTTCTTAAGTAAGGTGTGGGGATGTGTGGTGGTGGTGAGAAGCAGAATTTAAAAACGGTTAAAGTATCATACAATTTAAATTTGTTTCTATAACTTTTGTTAATTTGAAGAATTAATTGCAAATGGTTTGAAATCCACAGCATATTTTTTTTCTATTTAATTGCAAGTTTACTCAATTTGCGAGTCGCTAAAAAATAAACTTAGGACCAAAGAAATTCGAGCCGAAAAAATTGTTTTTATATAGAACATAATTTTGTTAATATTCGAGCTTGGAGTTTTATCATAGAACTTATACAATTTGGTGAGGAACGGAAAGACAAATATAATAAAAATTATATAAAAATTTTTTTATATATATACAAAAATTGTATTACTATTAATTGTAATTTTTTTTTTTTGGAATATAGTGTTGAATGTTTTAGAAATGGATTAATAAAATAATTTTGTTTAAATTTATAAATAGTTTAAAAAAAAGTTACATATGGAATATATATGCCTTTCAAATACGATGTCTAATCATGATTAAGGGGTACACATCACATAACACAACACATAAATGGTCTTACATTTATATTGAACCAGAAAACATGATTAACTTAAAGAGGTTATATTCAGTTAGAAGGCCAAAAAACGAATTTTTTAGATTTTTTTCTGAGAAAACTTTTGAATTTATAGATCTACAAATTTGTTCATAAACTTTGGTATCTTTTAACTGTTTGTTAAGACTTAGTATTAGTAGAAATATTTATTTGGAAAGGGCTACAGCTGATCTACGGGAGTTGTCTCACAAAAGACCTTTTGCGTTGACCACTATATCTCTGAACTGGATCCTCCGAAATTAAAAAACAGATTTCGTGTTAAGTCTAGTTATTAATCAAAAAAGTAAACAATATAAGTTATTTTGACTTAAGACTTTGAAAATATTCAGTTTATAAAAGTTTTTCATAGATCGTGACTTGAAATAAAAACATCTTTTAGTTAATTCTCCCATTACAAACCCTCACATTTTTCTCTAAACGGTTTTAGCATCACGATACCTGTAATCATAATCTGTACCTATACTATTAAATTACCTTCTTTGTTGCTTATGGAAGCTCTCAGAGGCTATGCTCTATTTTTAATAACACCCAGATCTAAGATTAAGATAGTACCCCAATTGCTGGCATTCTTTCGATAATGAAGTTCATGATCATTGTGAAATACATGTTTGTATAATTTCCATCTGAAACACTGTGGGAATCTACATTGCATTTACCGCGACTATATGCTTATGTTAAATAATTTTTCATACAGTATATTAAAATTATAACAATAATAGCCCGGTGATTTTGTGGTAAAGAACTTCGTTGACTTAGAGCGTTCAAAAAGAGCCAAGTGGCCACGGGGACCTCCTCCTTCGCCATGCACCATGCACCATGCACCTGCTTCCAAAGAACTCCAGTTGATGTTAGTCCAGCTCGTTATTTGCGCTTTGCCGTCCCTCTGGCGCCTCCTGATCCTCAGTGTCATCTTCGTCGAAGCCCGCCATCAGGCGATTGAATATGCCCCCAAACATTCCCCCCAATCCAGGTAGTCCGGCATGGGCAGCTTCTGGCTGCTCATCGAAATAGATCACTCCGATCTTGGCCACGTACTTCAGAAACGATGTGTCGCGCTTCAGCGATGGATCGTAAAGCTTGCGCAGGGCCCGAAAACCGGCCACACTCTTCGCGTCGATAAGGCGAAACAGGAAGTACAGGAAATTGACCAGCGGCTCCTTGTAGGGAAACTCATTCCTCAGCAGCTTGGTATGGTAGCGTGTGTACTCGGCGAACGTGTCCTCGGCGGTCTTGCGGTCCTTAAGCGACAGCTGCTGCAGCACTGCCTGCACTAGGAACAGATCGACCTCGCCCTGGAAGCCCCTGCTCTGGCTGATCTCGATCAGCACCCGTCCGCAGAGGCTACCGTCCTGGCAGAGCAGGTAGTGGTGGCGAGCAGACTCGATGTTGCCCTCGGTCCAGAACACGTGCGCAATCAACTTGTGCAGCACCGGGTGTCCGTACTGCCCGTGCAGGGCCGTGCTCCATTTAATGGTCCGTTGCTGGAAAAGATCATGTGTATTAGTTAGTTATGCGACACGTTGCTGCTGAAAACCTGAAAAAGCTCACGATCAGGGTTTCGCGCTCCACCGTCGCGGCGTTGAGTCCACGGATCAAAGCTCCCAAGCGTGGCACCCAGAGGAAGTTGTCGGTGTCCTCGGCCTGCGGTCCTCGCTTTTCCAACGTGTCAACCAGCAGGAGGCACAGGTCCGCAGCACTGCTCTCCTGCTCCTTGGCAATCAGCTGCTGTGCTCCGTCGAAGAGCAGATCCAGGCAGTCCTCGTAGCGCTTTTGGGCTGTATACCTGGCCGGGAGCATAAGATATTTGTAGCCATTCTGACGCACAACTTTTTTTCGAAAAACCATACCGAAAGTATAGCGTCCTGTACATCATGTGCGCCTCATAAAACTCGCCTCCGGCCAAAGATTGCGACAACTTGGCAAGAACGCGGCTGACTCCGCGTTGCCCAGAGGACACCGCACTGCCGCTGGCTACTGCACCTTGTTCGGCGGCGGCCATTTGCCCTATTTGCACTGTTGATTCTTCGCTTCAAAGCGACCTTCCCGACGATTTGAAAACTTAATTTTATAATTTTTTTGTATTTACATATACACACATCCCGATGACTGGACTATCGAAAACTATGACGCACTTATACCCGTTTCACACTTGTGATTAAATTTATGTCTATCGGAGTTTTCCCACCACACGCCGCAGCTGTTGCGAAAGCATCTGATTGGGCGACGTTAAAATTAATAATGTGATCACACTATTGTCAGTATTCGGTTTTTGGCTGTAAACTGTACTAATGTTGCATCAAAATGGGAGAGAACGCTTTCAGATACCCATTTATATACTCTTTTATCGAATTTATAAAGATATAATTTCACCGCAAAGCAATCTTGGCCCATAAATTAAGGCAAACCAAAACACCGAGAAAGTGTTGTTCCAATTAAACCTATTGCAATTGCGACTTCTTTTGCTGTTGCGGCACCAGTGTGAACAGGCCCTGAGACCGTTCACTGCGAAAGACTTCAAAGAGAAGAGGAAGAGGGCAAAGTAAAAGCAGCTGGGAATTGGCAGCAGGTCGTGTAGCAATTTTCGAACTGCCCAAACAAATGGACAGTGATCCAAAGGAGATCGGTTCTGGAGCCGGAAAGGACGAGCCCGCCCCCGCAGACACAAGTCTCGGCGCCCCCAGCAGCTTTGCCCCCAACCGCTGGGTCAAGCTGAATGTGGGTGGTCAGATATACGCCACCACCATCGACACTCTGGTGGGCAGGGAACCAGACTCGATGCTTGCGCGAATGTTCCTGCAAGATGGCAGCATGATGCCCAGCGAACGGGACGAGCAGGGAGCGTTTCTTATTGACCGCAGTCCCCGTTACTTCGAGCCGATCATCAACTACCTGCGCCACGGCCAGTTCGTCTGCGATTCGAATATCAGCGTACTGGGCGTCCTGGAGGAGGCACGATTCTTCGGCATCTTCTCGCTGGTCACCCATTTGGAGGAGCGACTGGGACAGCAGGAGGCGCCGCTGGGAGACAGACCACTGACGCGGAACGACGTAATTAAGGCCATCATCCAGACATCCGTGATTACGGAGCTGCGCTTTCAGGGAGTTAACCTTTCCGGAGCCGATTTGCGAAAGCTAGACTTCCGCAACATCAACTTTAAGGTATGTGTGGGCAGAAGCTCTGCAAGGTATAGCTGGTATGATCACAATATAAGTTACCTCTTTCCCCTGGTTTGTAGGAAATACTTCAAACAAAAAAAAAAATGCTGACTCCCACTTACAGGTTTATAACTAAATAATATATCATTAAATAATATTATCATCAATCATTCAAATTATATATTTAGCTATAAAGATTTTGTGAGCCAATCCACGATATGCAAATTTCACGATAAGTGGATATTAACAAGTTGGGTAGAATAGCACTTAATTATGGCCGTCCTTTTATACTCAAAAGAACAGTTTTCAGATGGTGTTTTGTTTATTGTGAAAAAAATCTAATGAAGTAGTTGGTTTTTCTAAAAACATGAATAAAGAAATGCGATAAATGATTCCCTGCCCCTATTAGAAATATTATTAATAACCTTTCTTTATCTTGTATACATATCTTCGTCAATTGATTTAAATTAAACCCGTAATTCTTAATTACTGTCTACATTCAAATCAATAAAAAAAACAGCAAAGTTACAGTTTTTATTTTAAATATTTTTCCAATTTTCCCCAGGAGAGCTATTTGCTACAGTCGAACGATTTTAATGAAACCGTAATAAAATATATTGTATTTATACTATATCTCCAAAAATAAAAAAAAAATTTTTTATGATATAGCTTACCGATTTTGGCAAAACTAAAACCGCAATTTAAAAATTATTAACAATTACTATATCTTAAAATATAATTTAAAAAAAAATTGGAAAACATTAATTTTTCCGATTGTTTACATAGAACCTATATGAAATAGTCGTCCAATCCGGCTCATTCCGTCTTTTATACTACCTGCAATAGAAAGACAACTTTTGGGAAAGTTTTATGCATTTAGCTTTAAAACTGAGAGACTAGTTTGCGTAGAAACTGACAGACGAACATGGCTAGATCGACTCTCCTAATGATGCTGATCAAAAATATATACTTTATAGGGTCGAAAAAGTTTCCTTCAAGCTTCGGACTGAATTATAATACCCTCTGCAAGAGTATACAATTTGAAGACCATGATTTTTAACCACCTAATATAAGTATATAGTTTAAAACGATAATCGATAAACAACATGTTTTTTACTCCACAGTACGCAAATATGTCTCACTGTAATTTGTCCCACACCAATCTTAACTATTGCTGCCTGGAAAGGGCTGATCTTCAGTTTGCGAATTTAGAGTGCGCCCAGCTGGTTTCAGTGCGTGGACTTTGCGCAAATATGGTAAGAATCTAGGGTATGACAACCTTTGAACCTCAACTAATTTGTTTTATCTTCTAGGAAGGTGCTAATCTGCGGGGGTGTAATTTCGAGGATCCCACAGGTGTTTGAACAAACTAATTACCATAAATAACTTGCTTATATTTGTCAGGTTCCTCAAGTTTTCTTTTTTACTTGGCATTTTCAAAAAGATGCTTGTAAGCAACTCTGAAAGCAATATCTCTCAAGAACTCTTTTTACTGTTGGCTTCCATTATTAAATTGTACACAAATAAGATCAAATCTTATTATATTTTCAAACAATTCAAATTTAAATTATAAAATCGAAAGTCATATATTTTTCTTGGAACCTAAGAAAAATCCTTTAAAAAGAGTAGCGTAACCACTTTTATCCATCGTTGATTATACAAATTTTGCAACACATACTTATATTTATATTAAAATCATATTAAATATAGGTGTCCGAACCAACCTGGAGGGCGTAAATCTCAAGGGAGCCTGTCTGGAAAGCAGCAACATGGCAGGTGTTAATTTGCGTGTCGCTAATTTAAAGAACGCAAATATGAAGAATTGCAATTTGAGGGCAGCAGGTACAAGAAAATAAATCTTGCAACTTTTCTTAAGTTAATCTAACTTTTAAAAACAAAAACATACTTACAGTTCTAGCTGGAGCAGATTTAGAAAAGTGCAATCTTTCAGGAAGTGACTTGCAGGAGGCAAACTTGCGGGGCGCAAATTTAAAGGACGCGGAGCTAACCCTTATTATAAATGCTTTGCACATGTCGCAGGCCATACGATGATTGAGGCATTATTTATATAATGTGGGCAATATTTTGTGCAATTTACATATCACATCTTGGCTCCAAACGATTATTACTGATTAGTTTTAGATTAATAAATGTAAATACGATTGTCCTTAAAATAAACAGTATTAGGATTATATTTCTAAAATGGAATGTATATTTTTAGTTTTATTCTTAGTCTACATTTACATTGCAATGCCTTATACTCTTTACATTGTATCTTTGGAGAAGAGATACGTTCTCTTCTTCCATTCTTTTGGTATCTAATACGGCACTATAATTTTTTCCTAGTAAATCCGGCGATGGTCATCAAGATCCAAAGGGGGAACCATATATGAATTTAAAGGTCAACGTTCGGTAAATTGAAAGAAATCGAATGTTGTTAAGACGTTTCAAACCTAAGTATGTTTATCTTACGATACGATTAAGAGAAAATGGGCCGTTCTTCGGCGAGCCTTTTGCCTTATTTCCAGTTCGACTTTAGGATGGAGAACTTTGAAAGGAAAAGATTTCAGTGTCACCCTCAACAATGACTTTAGCATACTTTTTTTGTATTTTTTGAGATTTTACGATCTAACAAACAATTTAAATATGGTAACAATATAAACCTTTTCTATAACTTTAAAAATGTCAAAAATACGATTTAAAATTTTGTTAATGAGCATTAAGGTATCTTCCAAAGAAAATTAGTATCAGCGTCTTGGATTTTATTTTTTTATTTGGAAACTAGTAAAGTTTTTAAATCTAAGAAAAAAATAAATAATATTGAACACAATCGTATAGAATGACATTTCGACGGACATGTGCAGAGTAGTCGTTTAATTAACAAAATTAATCATTTTCCTTCTACTATATTATATGATTAAATACCTATTTTTATAACTTCCGTCTGAATTCAAAAATTAGTATTTTTTTTAAATTACGGAAAGACTACATTTTTGCAGTGTTTGAAAATGATAGATCGATACATCATTCTGATAACGATTGAATGTGCAACGATGTTTTTGGTGTTTTCTGCACACATTTCAAGGCCTCACTAGTTATGTGTCAAAGTCAAAATCGAGAATCATTTCATTTTCGTTCGTTGTTTTACTGAGACTGGTTGTTCAGCATTTGCAAGTTGTGTTAACTTTTTGTTTTGTTTCGTTCGACCATCGCATTCAGAGCCCGCAAGCATCGTGTGCAAGAGAGGAGCAAATCATCGATAGCCCGAATTCGCCGCCGCCGACCGCCCATCGCAAGATTTCTTCGTGTGAGAAACGTGGTTTGTTGGAAGCAGAAGGAGAAGGTAGACGTTGCTCTGTAACTTGTGTAAATTCAGCGAAGAAAAAAATTGTTTAGCGAAGGAAACCAGCAACGGTTTGATACACAACTTATAAACGCGATACGATGGAAGATCTAAGCAACGCAGCTCCCGCTGCCGCCGCGGAGAACGGTGCAAACACCGCGCAGGAGGTATCGTCGACAAGTAAGTTCCCCCCCCTCTCGTACCGCACCGCCCCGTCGGGCGAGAATGAATAGAACGAAAAAAAAAAATTGCATATACCTTGCGTGAGTGTGAGAATGTTATCATAAATATTTTGCGCCGCGTTTGGCCAGCCTTTGTATTTTGTGCATTCGTGCTCTTCATATTTTAAAAAGGGATCAAGGGCACTATCGCAGCTGGTTTCCGCATTTCCCCTTTGCTTACGGCCATTTTACGAAGTGAAAAGGCAGAAAGTTGTCAAAATTCCGCCATATTTATTTCTAGTGGACTCTAGCTGTAAATAAGAGTTGTCAAAACGCCGAAACTGCGAAGCCACAGGGCAATGCAAAATGGGAATAGGAACTAGTGTGTACATATACATATGCACATATATCTACAAGCCCATGCCCGCTTTTTCTTGTCGGTCGGCGATCCACGGTTGTGTTGTTGACATTAATTACGTCATCTTTGCGCGCATTCTGCTTACAATTACCATTGCGCCCGCAAATAGTACGATATGAATCATTTTCGGCTGCTCTTGGCCGATTTCGAGTGATTCTGTGCTCGCGCTATTGCCATTTCTTCCTGCTCGCTCCCGCTCCTCGACCTCCCAATTCCACAATTGCACACTAACACACGGCGCTGCTCACATGCATACATATTAATTGAGAAATTCGCGTTTTGATGCGCTCATCGCTGTGAAATGTTTGTGCGTACGTGTGTGTGTGCGTGCCGGAGCGTTGCCAACTTATTGGTCATGCGTCAATATCGATATTAGGATTCTTCGACGCCAATTCTTTTCTTTCTTGAACCCGCTACCGCAAGTGGGCTGCTCAAAATACACCTGCCGTTTGTTGGATATTACAATTTTACTGCTTTAACAAACGTACATACATATGTAGGTGTGTTTGCGAATTCGCACAGGTGGCAACTCTGCCCACTGTTTTCTATGCAGATTTTTGTTATTGATGACATGGGCCGGTGTTTGCTGGTGTTTGTTTGGGCTCATTTCACATCTGATTGCAGGGCGTGAAAACCGGTTTATCAGCCGTGGTATCACCTTTAGTCCAGCACAAAACTGGCGTGATAACACGCGTTCATTACAGACGATAAGAGCTAGTGCTGAGTTTGTGCCATTCAGCAAATTTAATTTGCACTCTTAAAGTTCATACAACTACAGACGAACTTTCTTAACTCAAACCATTATGAGCACCCAAGAATGTTACTGTGTGTTACTTTGTAATCACAATCTTTTTTGACAGTTCAACAAATTTGACTTATGTCACTTTAGAGCTATTATTTTGGTTGAGTCATTCTCTGTTGAACATCATTGTGATATTAATTGCAATGTTATAAGGGAGTTCTTAAAAAAGTTTTTAATTTCTAGTTCTAGATATAGTATATTTTAAGATTAATAAAAGTCTAGAATGGCATTACCAGATTATGAACACAACACATCTTCGATTTGGGAGGAGAAACCCGCCCCAAATCTTTGAAAAGATTTTTAAAATCTCATAAAAATAGAGAAATAACTTAACTGAGTTGTGTTGCAAGCTCTCAAAAAAATCTGGGCACTAATTATGCAATATTCTTCCCAATTTTACTTGCAGCTCAGCCCATTGAGCCCACAAAGCGCTCGTTGCGCGTGCAGACCTGGAAAAAGATCCAGGAGGGTAAGGTTGGCGTTGGATTACACAACATATTCAACCGGATTCCTGCCTTCGTGGATGCCGATAAGGCTGCAGCATTGCTGATCAACGAGGAGGAGTTCAAGAAAGCACGTAAGTGGATCGCATTCGCACAGTCTGGTGTTTAGAAATCATATATCGTTTTCCCCTTAATTGCAGAGCACATCAAGGTAAACATCGATCGCGCCTTGCACGAATTCAAGGAACAGGCGTTGCTGGCCGACAAGTCTGTTTACTTGCCCAGCACCCGAGACTCTTCAGCGCTTTGCCTGAAGGTAGATGTGCCAGCCGATTCCACCGAGGAACAGAAGAAGGAGGCTCTACGCGTCCAGGACATTCAGAAGTTCCGCACGGAAATCGGACTAGACAGCGGTCTGAAGCTGGACATCGTGGTCATTGGGTCCGTTGTTGTGTCACGCGATGGCTATCGCATTGGACGCGGAAATGGGTTTGCCGATCTGGACATTGGCCTCCTCATTGAACTGGGAGCCATCACACCGCAAACAGTTATTGCAACAATCGTGCACGATGTGCAGGTGGTGGACTCGCTGCCTCTGAATCTGTTTCAGAAGTATGACACGCCGGTGGACATTATTGTGACCCCCACCGAAGTGATCCGCGTGTCAAAGCGCTTGCCCCGTCCCGATGGCGTCTTCTGGGAGCTTCTGTCCGAGCGTCGCCTGAAGATCTTACCTGTGCTGCAGCAGCTGAAGGAGCGGGAAGAGAAGGCGGGAAAGTCGATATCCCTTAAGGAGGAGGATACCGATGTGGAGCAGCATCAAAACAATAGACGCCGCCGTGGGCCCGTGCGTCGTCGCTTCCAACGAGGAAACCCAGGACGCACCACCTCACAGACTGACAACGAACAGCAGGGCGTGAGTATAATTGGACTAAACTCGGCACTTTTGAGTTATTTCAAACCCCACTTCTGCAGGAGACTACGCAGAAACGCACACCGCGCCGCAAAGGTCGTTTCGTTAATCGCCGCAGACGCACAACCAAGGTTTGTGTATTAAGCCACTGAGTCCAAGTTCTTAATCATAATGTTTTTTCTTTGTGCTTTGTGCAGTCTGAGGGCGATCAGTCTGGAGTCGAGGGAGGTGCTAAGAGTGAGGATCGTAAGTTCGAAGAGGCCGGCACTGGAGAGCGTCGTCCTAAGAAGAACAAGAATCGCGGACCTCGTGATTTCTGCATCAAATTGACAAATTTGACGCGTGACATTCGCGTCAAGGACTTGAAAACGGAGCTGCGTAAACGTGAATGCAATCCGATGTCGATTACTTGGAAGGGTATGCCACCTAAATCTAGTTTATAAGTATTTGGACTTACTTAGCCCCCCATTGCGATAGGTCATTTTGGAAAGTGTTTCCTGCACTTCGGAAACCGCAACGGCACACCCAGCACCCAGGATGACGTGGACAAGGTGTTGAAGTCCCTCAATGATCTCTCGCTGACCATCACAACCGGTGGCGAGAATGCCCCAGCCGCCCCAGCAGCTGCAGCAGCCACTGAGGGCGAGGTCGCCGTTAAAACTGAGCCAGCTGAGTCTGCGGCGCCTGTGCAGACCAAGACCATAAACGTCAACGTCGAGCTGATCAAGTTTGGCGCCAAGAAGGGCGCCGCCGGCTCCACTGGGGCCAATGCCAGTGCCGGCGAGGAAGGAAATGCTGCCGGCGGCGCGCAAAATGGAGGAGAGACCACAACTGTGGGTGGAGGTGGTGGCGACGTGGGTGGTGCACGCATCGAGTCCGTCGACACCACCACAGTATAGTATGACTACGCGCTTGGCGCAGCCACTGAACGGTCGCGGCGGACTTCCGCCGGCAGCGCAACGTTTGGAGTTCAACGAAAAAAAGTAACATTTTGTTTAGAAAAAAATCGAAAAATAGCAAACAAAAAATGAATAGAAAGCGAACTCCGGACACAAACAAACACACAAACACAAATTACACTCAACCATACACACTCACACAATACACACAGACAGACAGTTACACGTGCATACACTGAATATCATGTTTTGCAGCTTGTAGTTTCTTCTTCTCCTTCATTATTCTAACAAACAAGAAGAGCAAACGCAACATTTTCTAACGAGAAAACAAACCATTGACGCTTTTTCAAAACAATTGCATTTGTTTTTTTGGCCTAAGAAAAACAAAACGAAAATTCGTTGATCATTATAAGGTTTTCAACATAATTGAAACGATTGCAGAAATACTCGTTCCACAAATGCAAAGTGGAACAACATTTCTTCTTAATAATCCTTTACTAACTTCTTGTGACTTACTACAGTTATGAGTTAGGGACACTTCTAAATATTTCTGAATTCGATTTCACACCCTAGCACACATTTAAAACGGTTACTGTTACATTTCTATTATGCAGTTGAGCTGCTAATAGGATTGGCAGTTGTGGGCAAAGTTAAAATAATATTCAAAATTGTAATAATAATCGAAAAGCCCAAATAAATGCGAAACATTGAAATGAATTAACAAACTATTAACAGGTTGCATTTTCGCTGAAAGAATTATATAAAGATAATTGTAATTTGGTTAGTGTTTCCCTACTTTCAACGCAAACACCAACACCCCTTTAATTATATATTTTAACAGATGATCAATATGTGCGTGAAATCAACAATTATACAAAGCAGAACATAATTACTCTTTTTTTATACAAAGAAAAGGCATTACAAAAAAAATGTGAAACATGAATGAAATATAACTTGAAATAAAAATTTAAAAAAAAAATCGAAAAATACCAATTTTGCAATTTACCCGTTTATTTTATTGTGGGATTAATAACATCTAGCAATATGTACAAAGGAGCTTAAAAACTATTTACTCGGTTGAAATACCCTAAAAGATATAAAATCTTATCTTTTGTTTATATACATATACAAAATGTGAAATTCAGCGGAGTTCGAAAAATAGGTTCTGGTTCTTTGGTTATCTGATTCTCTGTTTGGATGGTTTTCAAGTCATCGTTGGGCGGGCAAGTGGGCGTGGTATCTGTGCACTCTGAAACCTGTTGCTTTGCGAAGGTATCTTGTTTTTGGAGTGTGGGTTAGGGCATTATTTTTCAATGGGGTTCGTTGCCATGTCCTTGAACTGCGGTGAGGGGGTGCGATCTATGAATTCAATGCTGTCACTCTTTGATTGGGCGACGGCGATGGCGGAGGATGCAGTTGCGCAGTCAGCGGCGTGCACGATGGAAGCGGCGGGTTTCTCCTGGATGGGCGCCAGACTATTTACAATGGAGTTGGCCATGGCCAGTTCCAGCTCGCGCTGCCAGTCGTTCTCCTTCTGTTCCATGGCCTTGCGCTTCAGCTCCTTGTAGCGATTGTACACGATGAACTCTTTGACCAGAGCGGTCTCGGGATCGCTGTCGCGCTGCGCCGACCGCTGTTTGGCCAGACGCTTCTTCTTTTTGTGCAGCGGCCGTGTTTCCACAATCATCTCCTCCAGCTCCAGGCAGGGATCACAGTTGAGATGGTCTTCGGGTGGCTTGTAGATGGGCTTTATCTTCTTCTCGAGCACCTTTTGGAAGTCGATGTTGCGCAGCATCGGTGTTTGATGCAGCTCCTGCTTTGTGCTGATCCTGGCCCCAGGATACGTGGAGAGTAGCTGCAAGCATAAAGCATAAGTGCTCCTTAGTCACCAGTCGTCGTCCCCCCCCCAAAAAAAGGAGCTGCGATTCAACCCACCTTCTGCAGCAGATCGACAAAGTTGCTGCTCCAGTAGCGCGGATAGTGCACGGGGGTGTTCAAAACGTTTTTGATCTCCGCCAGCGGCGTGTTCGAGTGCACCACAAACGGTCGAATGTTTCCCCGCATCTCATAGGCAACGACGCCAAGCGACCACCAGTCCACCGGATAGCTATAGCCGGCTGCAATTAACTTGAGGCAATCAGGATCCACTCAATTAGGCATATCCGGGCTCCGACAGGATTCCCAGTTCCCATTCGATTACCCACACCCACACCCACTCACCCACTTCGTCTAGGGCGCACAGAAACACCTCGGGCGCCATATACGGCTTCGTTCCTGACATGCTGCAGGCCAAGGCGTCCTTTTGCAACCTCGTTGCAATATTAAAATCAGTCAAATGAGCGTGTCCTGAAAGAGGTATACTTTATGTTAAAGATCGGTACTTTTTCTAATTGTCCTTGAAATTTTCAAGGAATTTTATAGTTATAATACGCTTTAAAAAAAAGTAATTTAAAATTACTTCAAGGTAAAACAACTATTTGCTTATAATACGCAATTAAAAAAAATCATTTAAAATTACTTCAAGGTACAACAACTATTTGCTTATTGAAAACGTAAATTTTGTGCTGTAAATATGTATTATAACAATGTGCCATTTATACCTTTGCAGAGGGTCTTATAATTTCAGTCAGAAGTTTGCAAAGCAGGAAATGAGACATTTCCAACCCAATAAAGTATATATATTCTGGATCAGCAGTACAAGGAGAGTCAATCTAGCCATGTCTAAACTAGTATCTCAGTTTTAAAGGTATCTGCATAACACATTTCATAAAAGTGTCTTCGTTATGTCGGATCGGACGCCCATATATTATATTATTATTTTTTTGTTAGTAATGGTTTATTATTTTACAATTACGGTTTTAAATTCAATGGAAACAATCGGAATATTAACAAAAATAAAATGGAAAGAAGTTTACTTCTCTATTTTAACATTTTTTTAAAATACTTTTGGATATAGTAATGGTTTAATAATATAGAATTGCGTTTTAATTTTATTAAGATTAGTTCAATGATTTTAAACTAACGCATTTAATTTTAAGCTTAGATCTTTTAAAGAATATTTAATTTTTGCAGTAGCTGCAAGGGCATATGAACTTCGGCTTACCGAAGTTTGCTTTCTTTCTTGTTGGCTTTCGAATTGATTTATTGCAAACCAAATGGTAAGAGTAAGGTTTCTTGTAACCACGAAACCACGACGTAAACGTTTGAAAATTCGATAAATAGTTGTTCCTGTTGCCAACTTAATAAAATAAAATTGTGAATATATTTTTCGATTTCTTCAAATTGTACACTGTTTTGATTGGATGAATCAACTCTTTTTTTTGTTAAGTTTACACATTTTAACGAGGTAAAACGTAACGACCGCACCTTAACAAACATTTTGAAATTATTTCTCATGTTGCCCCATGTATCTACATATACCGAAGTCAACTAATTCTTTGCAAAATCGAAAAAGAAAATAAATCTTATTTTTTTTAAATAAACATTAAACTTTAAAATTCATTTTTATGGTCATTTTCCTTTTTGAAAAGACATATTGTAGGTAATCAAACAATTTAAGAAAAACGTGTTTGTTAAACGTATTCGATACCACTAAGTTCTTATCAATACGCCATGGTTTATTTTACCCATCTGGTGATATTACTACTGCACTTACAAGGGAAACGCTCTGAAAACTTACCTGCATCGTCCAGTAGAATATTGTCGGGCTTTATGTCTCTATGGACCACTCGGTGCGTCTGCAAGTACTCCAGTGCACTGCCGAGCTCGCACACTAATAAGGCCACACTCTGCTCGGAGAATTCCACCTGAAATGAGGAGTCGACAGGTGGGTACATGTATATGAGGAACTGGCAGTTGTCAGGGGCGAACCTACCCTGTTCTGTAAATGATATCTTAAGTCGCCGCCAGTCAACAGGTCGCAGACCATGAACAAGTCCTCCTCATCTGTAAAAGGCAGCAGAGATGGAGGTAAATGAGTGCTCTGTGGGCAAAGCTTCAAAAGAAAAGCTCTGAGTTAATTTGCATTTTGATTGGCAATCAGCAACAGCATCAGGCGATAGGAAAGTCAGGCAAGAGAGCGAGCGATGGAAAAGCGACAGGAGCCGCTAAGCTGGCGAAGGTAGCACCACCAACAATATTTTAATATGCTTACACGGGTATTTATGTTTTTGCATATATGGGAATTTCCACTAGCAGTCGCTATTGCTACATTAGCATACTGCTAAAGTGCGTCTATAAATTATTTTCTAATCAAATTTTATTTAGTCAATTTAAATAGTTGACAAAAGTTTTGCTAAATATTAAAAAAAAACGTTTGTTTGACTCGAGAACTATAAAATCACTTAGCTGATAAATATTTTAAAATATTTTCCCTTTGATTTTCATTCATTGCGGTTTTAAGTTATTTTAAATTTTCATTTGGCTATTTTCAGATTTGATTCAATTTAAACCATATTTAAATCAAATAAAATGCGTTTAAATCAAATAGAAACTATTTTAAATCTAATATTTTATACAAAATTATAATTTTGAATATTAAATTATATTTTTTTATATGCACTTTATATTCATTTCATTTTATATATTTCATATTTAATTTTTTTTTTGTCAGTGTAATAAAACATAAATTAACTAATAGTAACTTTATTAAGCACTCTAAACTTTCTTTCGTACTGTGGAAACACCCACACTCGGTGGCACACACACGTACGATGAGTGTGTTTGTGGACACTTACCCTGAAACGAGAACCATAAATTGACTAGAAACGGATGCTCCAGTGAGGATAGCAGCTCCACCTCCTTGATGACGCCGCCCAGTGCTCCGCGCAACTCGCAGGCGGAGCGACTCACATATTTCATGGCGTACAGGATGCCACTATCCCGCTTTTGAACGATGCAAACCTGCAAAAAGTATCTTCTGAAGTCCAGAGATTTCTCTTGGGAACTTATGAGTGCCGTTCCTACCTTCCCGAAACTGCCCTTTCCAATGGCGCGCAGTATTTGGAAGTGATCAAAATTGACTGTAAAGGGAATAGAAGCGACATAAGTGGCAATGCAAATTGACGTTTCAGCCCCAAATGATGAAAACAAGTATGAAGTATTTTATTTTAAACCTTTAGCCACACACCCGATAGCTTCCAACTAGGCATCATTTATCCGACAGTGCAGCATGTTCCCCATTGTTGGCACTCCATCTTGGTCCGAGGACTTTGGAAAAACCTTCATCAGCTGAAGACTCTGCAGGGGACACAGGAAAAACGGAGGCAGAACATCCACTTGCAGCAGCCGAAGGTTGGGAAACCTGTGCCCGACCAGCGCCTCGAAGTGATCCCGTCCCAGGTAGCTGATCCGCAGCTCGTGCAGCCGCTGGAAGGTGCTCGCCAGGAGGAACCGCAAGTCGTCGCCGTGCAGTGGCACCTCGAGCAGATTCAGCGAAATCCTGCTCAGCCGTTGACGCCATATGCCACCCAGGAGGAGACGACAGCGCCCGTAGCTCTGCAGCATGGAAAGCTGGTCGGGCAGCTCCAGAAACTCCAGTATCCTCGACAGGCACAGGTCGTCCATTAATCCGAAATCCATTGCCGTTGGTTCGCCTCGGGTGTGTGTGCTATGGAAATTTTACCAGTAGAACCGCCCAGGGCACGACTACTGTGTTGCTTTTGTAACTGACTTGTACATTTTACACTTCATATCGTACCCACTTCATAACTACCCTTATAAAAATAACTGTTTTTTAAAAAATAGATACGTTTTCTTAAAATTAGAAATATTTCCTTAAACAAAATATTTGAAATGGTCTTGTTATTGTTTGGTCTCAACGAAAGTTTTAACCTCGCGGCCTATGATTTTTTGGGTAGGACTAAGTTTGGACAAAAAAAATGTTTGGTTTTTTATGGAAACCAAACGAAATATTTTGCTGCCATAAGACATTTTATAACCGTCTAAGAAATATATTAATAAATTATTGGCTGTCTGAACCACAAACTTAATGAATTCTAATAAATTCTAAAAAAAAACACCCAAATTCGATTCCGACAAACAAATAAAATGTAATTCTTTTTTTTTCTGATAGAAAATGTTTAATATGATTTTACCTTTCAATGCAAACTAAAAACACGTTTTTACAAGGGCAAAAAATGTTTTCAACCATACAAAAATATTATTTGTTAAATAATAAACAAAAAAATCATGCTGAAACAATCGTTCGAGGGTAGTAAATTATTAATACTTCCATTGAAAATATATTTTTTGCATTTCTATTTTTACTAATTTTTTTATTATATTATTATTTTCTCGTTCTTTATTTGCACTAGGAAACAAATATTGTAGATGATTTTGTGGATAGATGTTTAATCCGTCATAAAGCCAAGCTGATACTAACATTTTAAGCAACGGAAAACTATTTATGAATTAAAAAAAAAAGATGTATTTTTATTTTAAATGTAAGGCCCTACCCATTACTAAACAAATCATTTAATTTGGCTTTTTATATAACACCATCAAAACATTTTAAAAAATTGAAATCTTATAATTTGTTTTACTTATGTTGCACACTTAATTCTAAGTGCTCAACTATCGGCACCCGTTTTTTTGGGAGTATGGATTAGATTTGTCTATGATTTGGGTTGCCCCTTTTTTGGGCAATAACCGGCAAACTCCACTTAAACTTTTGTCTTACCGTCGTCATCGGCGAGCAGACTTGCGTCGGATCTGCTCGATGTGTTGGCGCCCATGGTGCTACATAAATGGGTTGACTGAAGTCGTTTTGCGTATCCAGCCTCCGGCTTAAAGTCCCTTGTGTCCAAATGGAACTCAATTGGTTTTCAACGCTGAAAGCTTCGGGCGCCTTTGATGTTTGCTCGCTTTCACACGTACTTCGTTGTCTCGTGCGGCGAAGTGCCGGTAATTGACTAGATGAGAGAAAGGTAAGCAAAAGTTTAACAACATATAGGGTTTAGGTAACAGGGGTACACATTGCGTTGTACGTTAAACCAAGACTAATAAATTTATCATACTTTATTACTGCATAAAGGTAAGTTGTCTTGATATCTGTGAAATGATCTGAGTGTTAAAATAATATTTAAAAAAATACTTTTTTAAGGAAACTACTATAAATTTATGGTTAAATGTAGCAGTTATGTATACCTTTATGAACAATACTTATTTGCACCTCAAACGTTGCCTTTGAACGATTTAAAAAGGCATTGCAAAGTGGCATTGAAATGTGTGTAATTTTTCGCTCTTTTTGGGTGGCAATGAAAATAGACAAAGGATTTATTTTTGTCCTGGTAAGGGGAAAAAAGGAAAGCGATATCGCCGCCTAAAGGAACCATTTTCCAACATTTTAAACATATTAATTATAAGCTCGTCAATGGCTAGCTAGTGACGAACGCACCTTCAACTCCAAAAATATCTGATATCAAATTTTGTGACGATTATTATTTGATTTATCAAATAAAAAAAAATTACTTTCTTTTCATTTAATTAGTTTTTTTTTACTTTTCGACAAATTCAATAAACATACCAGTAACGGGTATTAATAAAGTAACATAGTTGTAAGTCTTATTGAATATCTTTTGAACGGAGTAACAAAAGTCTTTTTGCTTCACCAAAAGCTTTATAAAAAAAAAAAGTTTCCCGCACTTTCACCCCCATTTCTCCGTAACGAAATGACTTTGGAGACCTCTAAACAATTGCCTTTTGATTGCTACATCATTATTGAGTTCCGACTATTATTAGCTGATTTCGAATATTTCGGCTATGTATCCAGTGCTCATCGTCATTATGTTTATTCTTAAAATAATTATCTTAAATTGATCAAATTGCTTAAAAGGTATCATATGTAGGCTTTAGATTTAAAGCCGCGCGGCTTAAACAGTGTTTCGTGACAATTCTTTAATTAAAATATACAGCCCAGAACTTTCTAACCCATTAATACCCGAGGGTTCAACTGTTGATGCTGATGATGAAATTTATTTTAACGGAATCGCTCTCTGAAACCATATACACCATATACACTGCTTCATCAAAACCCGAAAAACATTTGACATAATGTCACCCGGAGCATTTGGGACTAGAGCCGGAAAAACTAACGACATATACATACATAGATCCAACCGATCATTTTTATTTTAAAACTCTCCGCTTCATATTATAGAAAACACACCCGGTTCTGGCCCTTTAAACAGATTGAACGACGCCAAGGCATGGACTGCGAAGACTCCATAGACATTCGCGCCAAGGGACGTGGTCGTGAGGCCACCGTCTCGCTGCGCCAAAGGGAACTGATCCGGAACCTGCGCGCTTTAGTGGCCGTGCGCTTCGAGCAGGCGATAGCCCGGATCGTCCTGGTCTTCGCCGGCCAGGTGCTGGGCGATGAGGGCACCATCGACAGCAAGGGCATCGTCTCCGGGGTCACGGTGCACGTGGTCTGCCGTGCGGAAGTGGGCCACTGTTCGTTTCCGAAGCCGAGCCCCTCCACCAGCGATCCAATGAGGTCCAGGTGCCTGGCCATCCTGCTCGAGGATCCCGGTGCGCTGAGGCTCCTGCTGCAATCAGATCCGCGGATCCGAATGCTCGTCGAGGAGAACGCGACGCTGCGCCATTACCTGGAAAGCGACCAGAACCTGCGCGAGATGCTCACGAATGCCTTCAGTCCGGCCCAGTTGGAGTTGGAACGACGCCGCGATCTGTACATTTCGCGGCTGGAGTTCGTTCCCGGCGGGTACAAGGTGCTAGGCCGCCTGAACTACTACAAGCAGCAGGCCTACGAGGACAACGTGGCCATGTCCTTCCAGCAGGCATCGCCCTCCACTGCCAAGTACTCGAATCCCCAGCGGGGTCGCGAGAACAAGGACCCGCTCCCAAACCCCTGGTTACGCACGAGTGAACTCTCCCTCCCGGACTTCAATACGGCTGCCGACCAGAAGCGAATGGACGATCTGTTCAACCGCATCCTAACCGAACCCATGCCGGGGACTCAGAATGAAGGTGCAAGGCGGGAAGCGGTCAACCTAAAGCGGTCACCCTCTCCATATCCAACAGTGATCAAGCGCACCGATCCTCGTTCCCGGAGGGAGGGTCGCTGGCAGGAGTGCTACCACGCCCAGTTGGAGCAACTGGTCCAGATGGGCTACCTAAACCGGCGCCGCAACAAACGCGCCCTCATGATCTCGCTGGGCAACGTTGACAGCGCCGTCAGACTACTAGACCACTGGGATCGCTCTGTGGATGAATAAGCTTCGTTTGTACTACTTTCGTTGTGTTTCGTTTTTGGTAAATTCTCAATGTGAGAATAACCTTCTGCACAAAAGCTAAGTGTTCGCAAAACTTTACCAGTTAGTACAGGGATTACTTCTTAGTAGAATCTTCTATTACCAAAAGCAAATTCGCCCTGGTTTAAAAAAAATAAAATCATAAGAAATGGAAAAACTACACAACAATCTGTAGTTCTGTAGTGTTTCAAAAAGGACCACTAAACCATAAACAAAATTTCTGAAGACATGTTTCTTTGTTTTGGTTGGTTTGTTTTTTTCAGAAAGATATATTTTGTTTTCTTAGAAATATTATTTTTTTTTGTATAGCCTTTCTTGCTTATGCTTGTCTATTTTTAAAAATCAAATCTATTAAAAATATATAGATTTACTTTAAACAAAGGTGGCTTGCTCTTCGGCAAAACCGAAAGACAAAATTGATTGTTTTTGTGAGTGCTTAGTGTCTCTAATAGGATTAGGAAAGTTCTATTTTTGTGGCTTTTACACTGATCAAATGAAAAATATATTTATTATAAAATAACGATATGATGTAAAGACAAAGGTATCTCCAAGGCAACACAGGTAGATAGAAGGATGCATAAATAAAGACCTCCGTCCACAAACTTGTGTACATATGGTGTCACTGGAGTTGGATCTCTTTAAATGAGGGCTTTAATACATTACATTTGCGAGTATTTTTAAGCAATTTGCGCTTTTAAAGTCATTTTGTAATTTACCAAAGCAAATACAGCGCATGAGAAACTGCGAGCAACCTTGTTAGTAATAAGAAGGCATGTATTTAGTTTGGGTACAATGCTCTTAATTTTTCTTCGCCCAATCAGGATTATGGTGACGCTTTGATTGATTTGGTTATCACTTATTTTGACAATGGCGCCCCTTTGTTTGATATTGGATATTTGACCATATTTATTTAATGTCGTCAAGCTTAAGCTTGCATTGCAATGATTAATGAAGCGTAATGACGATATTTTTTCATCCATTTTTCTTAAATAACACATGTTTAATTTTTTGGTAGCCATATGAAATAGTTATATAGACTTCGATGAAAAGTTTGTAACAGGTAGAAGGAAGAGTTTCCGACCCCATAAAGTATTTAATATTTCATATTGATGTTGCCCTCCAAAATATAAACTTCTATTCAAAAGTTGGTAGCGTTTTCCTTCTTAAGTTAATCAGATTTGAAATCAAAATTTGTTTTTTATAATTATTACTTCTTATGCAGATAGACTTTTACCTATAAAATTACATATTAAAATAGCATCCCAATTTTATTTAGAAAAAATTCAACCGTCCCGTCTGAAGTATCCTGAAAAATTTGCAAAAAGTTTTGCATATAACCAAACGATAAAAAGGGACAATGTTTTTCTTTCTAAGAACGCGCAAAAAATATGTTTTTGGAATAATTATTATGTATGTTAAGGAGAGTGAAATTGCGATTATACCAAGTTAAAAAAAAGTTAAGTGATCCAAATAAAGACAAATTTTATCATTTTATTTACGATAAAAATTTTAAATAGATGTAGCAGCATATTAAAAAAAACTTCGCAATTTCAGTTTATTTGGTTATTAAGCATGTGGTTCCTATTAATATTAATATTTATACAATTATAAGTGTAAAATATCTACTTTTGATTAATAACGCGATGAATTCACGAGGCTTGTCCTTTTATACCGGGTACTCGTATAGAAAAAAGTGTATATTGCAATGGTTGAAAGGTATATAACAGGTAGAAGGAAGCGTTTCCGACCTTATAAAGTATGTATATTCTTGATCAGGATCAATACCCGAGTCGATCTAGCCATTTCCGTCTGTACTTTATATTTTATAGGGTCTGAAAATTTTCTTTCTAGCTATTACGTACTTTTTAACGATTACAATATATCCTTTTACTCAACGAGTAACGGATATAGTAACATTTTTGATATGCTGATAAAACATTTTATACATGTTATTTCTTAAAAACTTTTATATAGCAACCAAAATTTTTGGCTTCCGTTTTTCTTTAAGCTCACAATCTTTAGAGTACTCGTCATAAGAGCATATTAACATTAATTTCCATCTGAAACGAGAACTTTGACAGGGCTACAACCAGAACAACATACAAAGAGCTTATTAAATTAACCAATCTTAACCGCTTTTACGAACCCACACACCCTTTCCACACATTAGATCTTACTTTTGAGTCACCCCTATCAACAGGAAACAAAACTTGAAGCCCAGTTATTGTAAACATTTTCTAAACTCAGGAGGCTCTGGGAAATTTCCATTGAAAATTTTAAATCCCAGACTAAACATTTATTGTCGCGCCGCTGATAAATTTCATTGAAGTTCTTTTGAAACTTATTCGGTTACTTTGTATTAGCAAACACAAAACAATATTTTTGTGAAGGTCTTAAAAAAATTATTGAAACGTAAAAAAGGAAAATTACTATTACTTTGCATTCAATTGTGAGAATTTTACTAAATATAAATTACTAAAGATTTGCTAATCAAATCATAGCCTTATGTTAAACTTTGTGAGCTCTATGGTGGTGTACTCACAAATAATAAATTCTTTAACAAATTTATATTAATCCAAAGGATAGTTGTTCTTTTTTTTTAATACATTTTATTTCTGAACTCTTAAAATATATAGTTTTTTATAATTTTTATAATTTGTGTTTTTAAAATTCATAGAAAACGAACTAAAAACCTAAGAAAAGGATGCGTGACAAGCCCACTTAAAAGCATTTTAATGAAACATTTTTGGATTCAATTATGAGTGTTGGCAAGTCAAACGTGACAACGGTGATTGCCAGACAACTATGAACTCTGCCTAATGCCCTTTGGGAAAGTAGGTCTTCAGTTTAATTGCGACTCTTTTATTTTAAACATTATTAAATCATAATGGTAATTCATTTGGGGATCTGACCGTTAAAGTGGACACTTAACAGGACACTAATCTTTAAAGTAAGCCTTGTCAACGGAAAGTTCAGAGCAGGAACAACCGCTAGCCATAAGCTTAACAATGATCCTTCGCCTCGTAAACGTCAGCATTTTATAGCATTTTGTGTTTACGGTTTCAGAGTTCAAAGAACAAATATTATTAAGATAATAAGTGCGGTGGCGTTTTGATGTTTTTCTTGCCTTTTTTACGAGTTTAAAATTTTATGGGCTATCATTCGTGTGCGAATTCCCATAAAAAAGTGTGTTTCTATTATTCATTTGTATGGATAACATTAATACCACAACTTTGCACCACTTACACCACGAAAAAAATGTCATTTTGTGAATTGCAAAATGGTCGAATTTGTTTACTGTAATTTACGATATCTAACTGGTTTTCAACCTATTTCGGTCTTTAGATAATTATAATATTAGTGTTACATTATATTTGGGCAAAATTGAAAAAAGGTAAGAAAGCTAACAAGATACTAAGGACAACGCGGTAATCTTATCATAACGAAACAATCCCTAAACGTGTATGCGAAAGCGAAAGAAATTTGTGTTTGGGGAAGAATTATCAAAAGCAAACAGAGGAGAATCATCCCTTAGACTGATAAAAGGGCTTGAAAGACTTTGCATTTATGATGACTACGATTTGATTCAATATTCATGATTTAAAGTGGTTTCCATTGGACCAGACAAAGTACTTTGACATGAAGGCGACATGAAGAATATTAAAAATCGGGCCTTTCCCTGGTAGGATCAGAAATTGTTAACAGCAACCAGATTTTAAATATTAAATATTTTTGATGCTTCGGTCAAGCATAAAGTTGGCTGCAAAATTGTTTGTTTTGAAATTGTTCATGCATTGCTGACAGAGAATAAAAACAAAATTGGATTTGTTCTTAAATTGAATTAATTGCCAGATTGGGTGTCTAAGGACTCGATTTTCCCCCTGCCTCACTGGGAAAAGGACAGATGACATCATATTACTCTTTGGCGCAGAGGAAAAATCTATAATTTGAAGCGACTCGATGGAGCCGCGATTCGTGTTTATGGCGGTACAGATGAGTTGGCGCGGGCTCATTTAATTTATGTATATCCAAGCCTGTGGGATACCCTTGTAAGGTCTCAATATGCCCAACTGCTTTCCATAATCCAAATCAAAATGTAAGTTGGTGTCGCATTAGCATAGATAAGTCATTGCTGAAGTGGCGTGTAACTGGCGCGAGAAGAGGCCACCAGAGGCCACCCCAAAGCTGCTCGGGAATCAAGTTGACAACTGAATCCAAAGCAACCAAAGTGAAATAGGGTTCATTGACATCGCTGTCTGTTCCGTCCTTTCGTCCTTTCGTCCGTTTGCTCGTTGGGGCAGAAGAACTAATAGTAGACCGAGCACAACGAAAACAATTTGCTTAGCCCCTGCTTGACTGACCCCAAAAAAATACCTGCTAAGGTGATGGGGCAGTTATCCTATTGCTCTCAAGGAGACCTGGGGGGTTGTTGGTCGTAAGAGGATACCACTTCGTTTCCTTTGAATTTATCGATTGGCCTGACTCACAGTCACAGTCACAGTCACAGTCGAGATGTTGTTTCTGCCGTGCATGCATGTTCGGTGGCGTATTTAAATTGGACTCGAGCTGAAGCTCACATCATGCCAAGACATTTCTGCCACTTCTGCCATAACTCCCCCAACCACCCACAAGCACATTCATATACATACACGTCGCATACATTATACACGATGGCCTCCATGCAGTACCTGAGTTGATGGAGCGGGAAAAGCAAATTGTTGCCGTTGTTGCTCCTTTGATCCCTGGATGGATGTATTATGTAGGTACGAAGCCGCGATGGCGAAAAGTCACGCGATTGTCACAATAACACTCACACTTCCACAGGTACTGGCACTGGCACCCACAAATGCAATGGAGCTGAGCCGACACCATTGCCGTCGGCAACTATTTACGTTTACGGGGCTTCGCGACCGTTGCGCCCTATTTTGCCGTCGAACAACCGTATCCTGGCACTGCGAGATAGCGACTAAAACTGTTTTGTTTACAGCTCCTGTCCCGTCACTCTCTCTCTCTCTCTGTCCCGTCACTCTCCCTCTCTGTCCCGTCAATCTCTCTCCCACTCTCCCTCTCTCCCGCTCTCCCGCTTTCTTGCTCTCTCTTTGGGTGACTCGGCGCATGCGCGAGACCTGCGGATGAGCCCAGGATGGAAGCAAATCGGTG